CTCGCAACTGCTCTCGAAAGAGAGAGTTACTCCGTGCGCGCGCGCGAACGAACGTCTAAACCTAACCTAACCTTCTTCGTTGAATCCGCTTATCACACATTCCGCACATTCCCTCTTGTTTTGCGAAGGGGCACATTCCTTGCCATTCTAGGAATGTTGGGGGGGGGGTAACCGTGGTGGGAGGTGAGGGTGTTGTGTTGGGAACAAGTACTTGTTGGTGCATGCGTGCGTGTTGATGATGCTGCCTAGTCTTGGTCGTGGACGAGGCCGGTGTAGCGCGCGCCCTTTCGCAGACGCGTGTTGATGGCCTTGACCCACTCCAGCTCCATCCTGAACTCGCCGTCCTTACGCTCTGCCATGAGGAAACTCACCTGTTGTGGGCGTGCGTGAGTGATGATCCTGCAGACGACTGGAGGGGGGCACGTACTGCCTGGAACTGCCGCGGGTCGATGGGGAGGGACTCGCCTTCAACTTGCCCTTGGAACGTGAGCGTGAATCGGTCGAATGGAAGCTGCACGCACGCGGGACATCAGTTCAGGCCACTGAGTGCGAGAGACGGTGAGGTCGCGAAGTTGGTTCATGATGGAACGTACGACAACATTGGTCCATTCGTCTTTGCGCGTGGTGAAGAACGCCTGGAACAGATGGTGCTTCACCATCGAATCGGTCTTAATATTGGCGATGTACACTCGTCCATCCTGGAATGCGTCAGCGCCTCCCCACGCGTCAGTTCACCGCAACTACAGTAGTACCGTGCTTCCGTAGAGTGCGTACCGTTTTGGCTCGGACCTCGAGCGCATCAAAGCCATCAAGGCTCTTTATGGTTTTTCTCTGCACCGATGCGAGCCAAACCACAAGAAGGGCGGAAGGTCAGTCAAAGAGCAGAGGGAGATGAAGGTTGGAAAGTGGCAGGTGGTACTTGGCGAGGCTGCAGGCCGGCGTAGCCCGCTTGTTTCATTTCCGTGCCCTCGGTGGAGAGATCGAGCGCGCCCGAGAACACCCACGTGCCCTGCTCGGTGGGCTCCAACTTGGCCCGCGAGCGACCTGTGCGGTTTCGGTGCCAAGCGGCAGGAGGAGGGCAGCTGCTGAGGCGCCGAAGAACTCCTTGGGCCGTGATTTCCAAGAAGTAAAAACGACTGCATACCGCCAAAGTCGGCATCCGTCACGGCCTCCCAGGCGGCGGGGTCAGCACCGGCGCCAAAGCTGTAGAGCATTCGCTCCCTCGCTTGAGGCCCGCCAAAGGCCCCTTCCCGCAGCAGCGGAGGTCCTAGTAGCAAGTACGAAAAAAAAAGTACGAAAAAGTAAAGGGGCGGAATGAAGCTTCGTGCCATCATGAGGTACGAGGGCAAGGGGTACCGGCAAGGGCCTCGCGCACGAGGTTCTTGACGCTGCTCCCAACTCCAGCCCGCGAGCGGCCCAGCATCTTTCTCTGTGTGTTTTGCGAAGGAAAAACGAAAGAAAAACAACATTTCTCTGTTTTTTCCTTTTGTGAAACTATGATTGAATTGCGATTGGGGGATTCGGAGGGTTGGTTGGTTCTGGTATATTTCCAAGTTCGGAGGGCAGAACCGAAAGGCGGGGTTGGGGCGGGGCCTTGCTTTTGCCCGTCCGTGTCCACACCGCGCCCATCTTCTCCCCCCGCATCACCTCTACACAGCAAATGGCTCAGTTCGATTTCAGCACCCCCCAGGCCATCGGCAAGTTCAACGGCTTCCTGTCCGACAAGTCGTACGCGAAGGGCTACCTGCCCACCAGCGATGACGCTAAGCTGTTCGCCGAGGTGACCCAGCACAACCCGTCGGGTCCGGAGAAGAAGTTCGCCCACGTCTACCGTTGGTACCAGCACATCAAGACCTTCAGCGATGAGGAGCGCTCCAGCTGGCCCGCTGAGGTCGTGCTCGCCGAGCAGCAGACCGCTGCCGCCCCCGCCCCCGCTGCCGCCAAGGCCGAGGAGAAGAAGGAGGAGAAGAAGGAGGAGGATGTCGATTTCGACGATGATGATCTCTTCGGCGGTGTGAGCGAGGAGGAGCTCGCTGCTGAGAAGCAGAAGCGCGAGGCCGACAAGAAGAAGCACAAGAAGGCCGAGGAGATCCAGAGGTCCAACATCATTCTCGATGTCAAGCCCTGGGAAGACACCACCGACCTCAACAAGCTCGAGGAGCTCGTCAGGGGCATCACCATGGAGGGCCTCACCTGGGGTCCCTCGAAGCAGGTCGAGGTCGCCTACGGTATCAAGAAGCTCCAGATCTCCTGCGTCGTCGTCGATGACCTCGTCTACACTGAGGACCTCGAGGAGCAGATCCAGGCCTTCGACGAGTACGTGCAGTCCATCGACATTGCCGCCTTCACCAAGGTGTAAGAGCATTTCACCGTTCCCCGAATCGAAGCGAAGATGGACCGCGGCGGAGAGACCCCTAGCCCCCGATTTTCCTCCCATCCAACTTCTGAAACCTCAAGTAAAACAAGCTCTATCCCAATTTCGTGCCTATCTTTCTTACGAGCGCTCCATCGAAGTGAGATGAACATCGCAATTGGCCATGTGAGGTTATGATTTTTGAGATATTTATTTTTTTATTTTAATTCTGGTTGCTCTGTGCGCGAGCGCTCCAAAAGCTCAACCGAAGTGTAGTTTGTGGATTGAAGATGGAAGGCGGCGCTAGTCCCGGACCTGAGGAGAGAGAAGAGGAGGCGGCGAGGGTGGGGCAGCAGCAGGAGGATAGCGAGGCCCTCGAGGAGGAGAGGAAGGGAGGCGGCGTACTGGGCCGGTTGCGCAGGAAGCTGGGCCGTGGTCGCCCTCCCGCCTCCCTCGCCTCCCAGGCCGTAGTCGACGACTTCATGGCCGCCCTCCGCTCTTCTCGTTCTCAGACCGGCGTATTGCCCCCCCCCCCGTCGCTTTCGTTCTTTTGCACAACGCAGAAGAAAGAAGATCTCATCAATCTCGTGGTTGCTGCTGGCTGGGGTGCAGGAGGGGCGGAAAGGCCGCAAGAAGGCCAAGACGACCTCTTCAGGCGTTTCCACCAACCTCATGGTACACCTCCTTCTCGCCCCTCAGCGTCACTGGCGGTGGCCTCAAGGGGACTGGTGTGTGGCGTTGGGCGCTGGGCGCAGAGGGACGCGGACGGGCGAGTCGTGGCCTTCACGTCGGTCGACAACAAACTCGTGCAGACCGGTACCCGCCATTCCTCTCGTCGCTCATGATCGTGTGCGGTGACTGACGCCACGCGGGGGCTCTGCAGGGGCGGTGGTTGTGGTGTACCGCGCCAAGCCGTCGGCCGATGAAACCGCCCCGCCCGAACTCACCCGCCACGTCGCCATCGTCTCGTACGCCACACCTTCATACCTTCTTCCTTCTTCTTTCAACGTTGTGCAAGGCCCGTCATCGCACCACAGTGATCTCATCTTTCCATTTTTCGGTTGTTTTTGGTGCCGCGGCTGTCGTCAATCAAAAGGTGGATGGGCGAGCTGGAGGTCGAACAGAAGAAGAAGCGGAAGAAGCAGCTCGAGCTCATGCTCGGCCTCACCCTCTTCGACAAGGGTAAGCTCTCCCGACACCCAACGAATCGAGCTCACATTCGCTCAATCGATTCATGTTCGACTCACCATCCTGTGCCCGCGTGTGGGTGTGCGTGCGTGCGTGCAGTGGGCGAGGGTGACGGGTGCTACGGCGAGCAGCGCTGCTTCACCTCACCGCGAAACTGCGCCCTCTTCGTGGTGAGTAGCGGCCGCCCACCTGTGTGTCTCCTGCCCATTCCTGACGACGCGTGCGTGCGTTCAAATGTGCGTGCACGCGTGAATGTAGCGTCCGTGGGAGGCGAAACTGTACGAGCCCGAAGCCAACTTCCTCGGGCAGGTGCACAAGGTGGGCTACCTCTCGACACTCTCCAGCACGGCCCCCGACCTCGGCTGGAAGAAGCGATGGTTCTTTCCTCCTCCCTCGTCTTCGTCATCCATCATCGCCATCATCATCACCACCACCACCACCTTTTTGCTTCTAATCCCCTGTGTCTTCTTCAAGGTTCATCCTGACCGACGACTTCCTGTACTTCTTCAAGACCCCGTTTGTACGCTCTATCTTCTCATCATCTGCATCACCATCCACCATCGTATCATCTGTACATGTGGCTGACATGCACGGGTGGCGGCGGCGGCGGCGGCGGGGGGCACAACTTGCAGTCCAAGACGGAGGTCGGTCGGCTGACCATTCAGCCGCGCAACACCAAGCCCGCCGATCCCGCCATCACCGGGCGCGCCAATTGTCTCGAAGTACCCTTCCGGCCTTCCGCGTGCTGTGTGTTGTGTGTCACACACGCGTGTGAACTCAACGCGTGCGTTGTGCATAGGTGGAGGCGGGAGAGAACAGAACGGTCTACCTGAGCGCTCCCGACAAAGGCACGGCTGATTCCTGGCTCGCCGCCATCAGCGCCCTGTGGCCCCTTTCCGCCGCTCGCCAAGAGGTGCGTCCCTCTGCGATTCTGCTCCACAGCTGACTGCACGCTTGATGGTTCTTCTCATCTTCATCTTTTCATCTTTTCTTCATCATCACTATCAACCCAGGGCACGCTGCGACACCACGGCCTGTTGAAGGAGATGGTAAAGGGGGGCTTCCTTCAAGGCAGCGTCTCCCTGCCGCCCGCCCACTTCGCCTCGCGCCTCGCGGAAGACGACCGAGATGCGCCCGCCCACGCCGCGGCTCCTCCCCTCTCCTGAGACGACTCGATGCCCGGGCTTCGTCATGTTCAATAATAACAGAATGGAAGTGATTGTCACGACCTCCGCTTGTAGAAGACCTCAGCGACCTCCTCCTTTCTCACCCCCCCCCCCAACGCTCTAGAAGGAAGAAGCGCGTGTAGAGGGCCAAATCCTGCTCAGCCAGTACGAAGGGCGTAGAAAGAAAGTTGTAGTGGTGCAAAGTCTCTCTAAAGCGCAGCAGCACGGCACGATCACCATCATGGCCCGAATCAGCTTCCCGCCCTTCCACGCCGTGCTGATGATTGCGACGATGACTCTACTACTCGCCCTTTCCTTCTACTACACCCACAACCCTCCCGAGCTTCTCCCTTGCACCATCAGCGTGGCCCCGGGTCCTACGCTCCCGCCCGTGGAGAGGCGCAGGATGGAGGCCCTGCAACGCATAAACCATCTTCAAGAGGCCAAGAGAAGCGCCATCCGAGAGCGGGACATCCTCCAGAACTCAGGCACCTGGGGCGAGGGCCACCCCGAGAAGAAGGCCAGCCGGGAGCAACGCGCCCGAAAGGGGGAAGAGGAGATCGAGTGGATGACGACAGAGCTGGCGGGCCTGAGAACGGAGCTGAGCCACCTTGAACACGAGATCGAGCTGGCGCAGCGCTCCAAGGCCGTGTACAACAACTTCGGCAGAGGTGGAGCTTGGGCGCTGTGGTTCGCGCGAGAGATCTTTCCGCCCCTCAAGCACTTTACTTGTACCATCGTCTGCCACGAGGAGTGGTAAATAGGGGGAAAGGTTGTTGCCTGAACTGGTGCAGGAACAAAGAAGTGATCTTTTGAACATAAACTCCAAGTAGCTCGAACTTGGGCGTGGGCCTCGCCCAACCACTTCACGTGCCACACACCACCTCGTCGACGATAGGCGGGAAGCACCACAAGAAGAAACAAAAATTGCGCAATGAGCCGCGAGGAGAAAGTGCAACCCACCCTCTTGTATCGCCAGTAAAGATGAAGGTGACAGCCTGCAGCATCGTGCTTGTGGCGTTGTCCTTGCTGCTTGTGTGCGTCGCGGCGTCGATTGAAGATGGTACGGCGCACGTAAGCTACAACGGCCGAGTGGCGTTCAACGCGAGCGAGCCCCATCACGTGCAGTTTGATTGGTCGGGCATCGAGATCCGTGCTTCTGGCGTTGAAGGAGGCAGCGGCCAACTGTTGATTCTTCTCAACGAGCCGCAGACGCCGGGAAACATCTACGAGGTGATTATCGATGGCGTCGTTTATCCTCGCCTCAACACCACCTCCGCCAAGAAGGTTTGCACGCCTTTCACTTCCAATCTTTCATCTGTAGCTTCGAATCTGTAGAAACGATTTTACAAGATGGAGCTTGGTGTGGATTTTGGCCCCTGACTGTTTTTGTCGCTCTGCAGGCTTACGTGCTGGCGACGAACCTGAAGCCGGGCAAGCATGAAGTGCTCGTGCGCAAGCTCACCGAGGCCTTCTTCGGTGTTGTGAGCTTCATGGGCTTCCTCCAGTCCGACGGCCAGGTCATCTTCAACCCGCCCACCTCCAACGTACGACGCTTCCCGCTCGAGTCTTGAGCAAAACCCACGCCCGGTGCTGATGTACGAGGTCGGTGGCGCGTTGGTCGATGGTGGTGGAGCAAGGTGGCGAACAGGAGGATCGAGGCCATGGGAGCGAGCTTCACGTGCGGCTACGGCGTGGAGGGCCACCACCCGTGCAGCTTCAGCCCCTACACTGAGAACTACTCCAAGTACAGCAACGGCAGCCAATCTTGTTGGTCTTGCTTCGTCGTCATATCGTGCTCATTCCCCGTGTGCAGGACCTACGCAGCGGTGATCGCGAGGACCGTGGGCGCTCAGTACCACGTCGAGTGCTGGAGCGGCAAGGGTGTCGTCCGGTGCGTTGCCGCCCATCGTCACCCTCCGCAGACCAGCTTGAGCCTGATGATGGAAACACTTTGATGGCGGGGCGTGCGTTCGAACAACGCAGGAACTACGACTGGCCCAACATCACGGCGCCAGAACCGTTCCCCGTCGACTTCCCGCGCACGCTGGCCAACGTGGCCACGTCGTCCTGGGACTTCAACGAGTGGCAGCCGCACGCGGTGCTCGTGAACATCGGCTCGAATGACTACTCCACCAAGCCCACTCCTCCCCCGGAGCTCTTTGAGTCTCGTACGGTCGCGCGCGCATAGCAATGCGTGAACTGCACTCTCAACGCATCGCTTTGCCCCTCTCCACTCGTGCAGGCGCCAAGGCGTTCATGGAGGGTATCCGTGCCAAGTACGCGGCGATGGGCGATACTCTGCACATCTTCTATTCCTGCGGCCCGAAGCCCATCATGGGCGGGGACGTGTGCGAGTACATCAAGAAGGCCGTCTCGCAGGTGCGCAACGCGCACTACATCGATATCCAGAACGTTCTCGACATCCCTCAGGACCTCGGTTGCGACAGCCACCCCAACGTACGCACCACCTTCTTGTTCGCACACGTACACGCATACGCTCACCTTCGTGCGTGTGCGTTGTGCAGGTGGTGGGCCAACAGAAAATGGCAAACGCCATCCTTCCCGTGGTGCGGGAGGCCATGGGCTGGCATTGATGAGTCATCGATCACGCGACGCAGGACAGTGCTGGCAAGAGGCACATTCTCCATTTTCTGCGTTTTACTTTTGGCGCGAAATGTTTGGGCTTTTTTCGCGCCAAAAAAGCGCCACCTTAAGATCACACAGTTCGCGGATTTTTGCGGGCGGGAGCACAAACGCAGTTGTTTTTTCAGAGACGGCGACGCGGTCGTATCAACACAATCTGCACATTCGTACACATTCCTCTACAAATGGATCTTAGCCAGATTTTGTTGAACGCCCAGAGCCCTGGTACGTCAATTGGCTGATACGGGTCTGTCTTGCCAGCTTTCATTAATACTCCCCAATTTCCAGATCGCGAGGTGCGCGCTGGGGCTGAGAAGCAGCTTGCTGCGGCTGAGCAGCATAACCTGGTACGCACCACTCCTCTATAGGACCTGCCTCTACGATGCGCCTTTGAAACTTCCATTCTAGCCGCTCATCATGTCCGTCAATTCAGCCCTCCTTCTTGCACGCTCTGTGCCTGGAGCTCGCCTCCGCCGACAAGAACCCCCACTCTCGCCGCCTTGCTGGTCTCATCTTGAAGAATGCCCTCGACGCCAAGGATGAAACCCGAAAGCAGCAGCGCATTCAGCAATGGCTTGCTTTGGATGCTGCCGCCAAAGCACAGATCAAGGCCGGGGTATGCGCACCATGGACAATTTCGATTTCAGAGTTCATTCTTTATGCTGACGGTTCTCCGTTAATTGCCCAGGTTGTCAAAACTCTTGCTGATTCGGTCAAGGAAGCCCGGCACACCGCGGCCCAGGTGAGGAGCCATACAGCTACATTCATTGCCTTTGTCCCTGAATCAACTAACGCCTTCGTGTCAAATTTTCGATAGGTCCTGGCCAAAATCGCCGTCATCGAGCTTCCTCGTGACCAATGGCCCGACCTGATCGAGAGCCTCATGAATCACATGATGCTGCAGGACAACAACCTCAAGGAGAGCACTTTGGAAGCGCTTGGCTACATCTGCGAAGAAATCGTGCGTGATCTCGTCATCATTGTCCATGGCCTGTTGCTCACGTATTATCTACACCACAGGAACCTCAAGTGATTCAGGAGAAGTCCAACCAGATCTTGACCGCCGTCGTTCAGGGCATGCGCAAGGAAGAGCCGAGCGCTGATGTCCGAGTAGCTGGCACCACTGCGCTGCTTAATGCCCTTGAATTCGTCAAGGCCAATTTCGAGAAGGAGGTATGCGTACATTTCCCGACACTGCACAAGGCCTCCTCCTGATCTCGATTAATCTTTAGGCGGAGAGGAACTACATCTTGACCGTTGTTTGCGAGGCCACCCAAGCCCCCGTTGCTCCTATCCGAGTTGCTGCCTTCGAATGCCTCGTCAAGATCGCTGCTCTGTACTATGACAAAATCGGGACCTGGATGCAGAACGTCTTCAACGTACGTGATCTAATTACTCAATCTGTCGCACGTGCTGTTGTGGTCTAACCCGTTTTATTGTTTTGCTTGCTGTTTTAGATTACGCTGGAGGCGATGAAGAAGGACGAAGAGCTGGTGGCGCAGCAAGCTGTAGAGTTCTGGTCGACCATCTGCGACGTTGAAGTTGACATTTTGATGGAAATGGATGAGGTGCGGCTGCACGTTTGCTTCCCTTTGTTTTTAAAACTGGTGGTCTCATCGTCTCCTCGTGTTTATAGTATGTTGCTGCCAAGGAACAACCCCCGAGGGCCTGCCTGAACTACATCAAGGGAGCCATGAAGTTCCTCATCCCCGTTCTCATGGAGTGCCTCACAAAGCAGGTTAGTGTGCTCCCCAAGGTGATTGCAATGTTGGGCAACCGCTGACAGGCGTTACTCTACAGGAGGGCGAAGAGCAGGAGGAGGACGCGTGGAACGTCGCTACTGCGGCGGGTACCTGCCTGGCCTTGATTGCCTCGACCGTGCTCGATGAGGTGGTTCCCCACGTGATGCCGTTCGTGCGCGACAACATCAGCAACACCAACTGGCACTTCCGCGAGGCTGCGCTCCTGGCTTTCGGTTCGTATACTCTCACAGCTCCGAGCTGCTCATCAGCTGCTAACTCGAGCGCGTAGGTTCCATTCTCGAGGGTCCCACCGGCTACATCATCACCGAGCTTGTCACGCAAGCCATCCCCATCCTCCTTCAGCACACGAAGGACTCAGTCACTCTCGTCAAGGATTCCACCGTCTGGACTATCGGTCGCATCTGCCAGTTCCATGCTCAGACCATCGCTACCAAGCTGCCCGAAGTGGTTCAGGTCTTGATTGAAGCCCTCGCCGATGAGCCTCGCATTGCCGCCAAGGCTTGCTGGGTACGCCTTCGAACATTTTCCTACTACTAGATTTACAACACCGGTGGGTGCTGTGCACTCTTTATCTAATACCTTTCAACAGGCCATCCACAACCTTGCCAGCGCTTACGAGGTTGAGGACAAGCCTACGTCTCCGCTTTCGCCCTACTTTCAGGCCCTCGCCACTGCCCTGTTCCACGCCAGCAGCAGGTATCTTTACTCTTTCGCGGACCCTCCGCCGTAGGATTACTTACTCTCTGACTTGACCATGCATGCAGGGATGACGCTGATGAGAGCTTCTTGGCCACCGCTTCTTATGAGGCCCTCAACGTGCTGATTCAGAACTCGACCAAGGATTCGCTTCCGCTCATTGCGCAGCTGCTGCCTCCGCTCCTCGAGCGTCTCGAGAAGACCTTTGCCGCTCAGATCGTGTCCAGCGACGACAAGGAAGCCGTTGTCGAGCTTCAGGGTCACCTCTGCGGCTCTCTTCAGGCCTGCACCCAGAAGCTGGAGGGTGAGGTCAAACCGTACGCCGACCGTATGATGACCCTCTACCTCAGGCTGTTTGAGTTGCAGAGCGCCACCGTCCAAGAGGAAGTGCTGATGGCTGTTGGTGCCCTCGCGAATGGTGCGTTCTTTCCCCGTAATGTCTCAGTTTCTAGGCGTCCTTGCTCACGCTAGTCCTTCTTTGCCTCACAAGCCGTGGAAGCTGACTTCGCCCGCTACATGCCCGCCTTCGGCAAGTGGCTCGAGCTCGCGCTCCGCAACTGGGAGGAGCACGCCGTGTGCGCCATCGCAGTCGGCGTGGTTGGCGACATCTGCCGCGCTCTCGGCGACAAGGTCACCCCTTACTGCGATGTTCTCGTCGGCCTTCTGCTCGAGAACCTCAAGAACCCGCACATCAACCGCAACGTCAAGCCGCCCATCCTCTCGTGCTTTGGTGACATTGCCCTTGCCATTGGCGGCCGATTCGAGCCCTACTTGCCCCACGTGATGGGCATGCTCCAGCAGGCCTCCACTACTCCCATCCCCGAGACCGCCGACTACGACTTTGTCGACTACGTGCTTCAGCTCCGAGAGGACATCTTCGAGGCCTACACGTCGATCATCCAGGGTCTGCGCACCGACAACAAGTCGGATCTCTTCCTCCGGCATGTGGAACACGTCGTGGGCTTCGTCTCCTTCGTCTGGAACGACCCTACCAAGTCCGACGAGGTCATCCGCGGTGCCGTGGGCGTCCTCGGAGATCTCGCGCACGCTCTCGGCCCGAAGGTGAGGGACGTCCTCAAGCACGAGATCGTGCAGGGCATCATCAACGAGTGCGCCTCCTCGTCGAACCAGCAGACGAGGGAGGTGGCCAAGTGGGCCAAGCAGGTAATCGCCAAGCTCTAAAGTCGGAGGTCTTCGCTCTCCAAGCCCCTGCCTGCCTGCCCGCCACGCCCTCCTTCAAACGCGCTCCGAACCGACTCTCTCCCCCCATCAACTCCTCCCTCCGCCGCCACACGAGGCCGCCCTCGACGCTCACGCCGCCCGCAGCCGCAACCGCCGCACGCCCCGCCCGCAGCAGCAGCCGCCGCCGCATACCGCCGCCGCATGCTCGCCGCCGCTCGCGCCTCACTCGATCGCCTTCGTGCCGACCTGCCCCCGGTGCCGACTCGCTATGTCAGCTTGTCCGCCACCACCAACGCAACCGTCGGTTGGCCGTTGGCGAGAGACCCTGAGGTCCTTTTTGTTGTGTGGCCCACAACCAACCAACCCCCCCCCCTATAAATTATTGTCTGCTCACCCGCGCCCACCTCTTTCACTGCTGCCCTGCGAAACTTTGGTGTGGGCTTGGTGCACCACCGCACGACCCGCGCAAACAGTGCTTCTGTGAAAGTTTTGGAAGGGAAAGGACGAAAGCGACACAAAGCGTTAGGCCCCGACAGAGCGTCTCCAACCCAACCATCTAACAATGCGCAGGACAGTGGTGAGTACGTTGTTTGCTCCTCGGCGTCTTAGCGCCGTTGGCGGCGCGCGGCGCTTGCTTAATGCGACCGGCGCCGCCGTTGACGACCTCGAACAACGGCAGTTGGAGAGTTTTCGCATCTTTAACGACCACAGCGGCAAGTTTCGGGTGGCCGTCGTCAACCGGTACGCACTGTACACGCTTCTTTCGATTTTTATTTTAAAATAAAAAAATCATTTAATTATTCCAGAATTTTTACTATTAAAAACAAACGGTGTGCAGGTGCAACATGGACTGCTTCTTTTGCCACAACGAAGGGATGGACAACCCGCGACGCTCGGCCGCGCCCCTCGGCGCAGCAGACCCCCTATCCGGTGGTGGTGGCCATCAGCCGGCGGCGGCGGTCAACGGTGCGGCTGCGAAGAAGCGCGACCCGCTCAAGCGCAAGGGGCCATCGGTACTCTCCACCGAGCAGCTGCTGGGCATCATGAACGCCTTCACCCGCCTCGGCGGCAAACAGATCAACGTCACAGGTGACCCGCACGACACGACACACGACCCACACGACACACGCTCATGTAACACACACACAACACGACACACGCATAGGTCGGGGAACCGCTAGCGCACCCGGAGATCAACGCCATCCTGCGTGGCATCGACAAGCGCAACACGCGCGTGGTGCTCAACTCGAACGTGTTGCTCGCGCAGCGATTGTTGAAGGAGCCCAAGATCGACAATGTCGACGCCATCTACGCGAGCCTGCACACCACCTCGCCGCAGGACTTTCGCGAGAAGCTGGGCACCGCCGCCTCGGCCGCCCGTTCGGTCATGGACAACATGGTCCTTCTCAAGCGGCACGGCTACCGCGTCCAGATCAACTACTCGCTGGGCGACTACAACAAGGCCGAGTTCGCGCGGGTGCTCGACTTTGCGGTGGCGCAGGGCATTGACCTGAAGGCCATCGCCCTGATCCGGCCCAACGATGACCCGCAGTTCTACGGCGGCGAGTGGATCAACCCGCAGTGGGTCGAGCGGGTGGTCGACGAGCAGCACGGCCTGCGGCGCGTGGCCCAGCGCGAGGGCTTCGGCGGGCGCACCACCACCTGGCAGCAGCAGCAGCAGGGCGGGCAGGGCGCGATGACGGTCGAGATCAAGAACGTGGCCACGGGGCGGCTCATCACCGACTACTGCAAGGGCTGTCGCTACGTCAAGCAGTGCGGGTGCGTACATGTCAACTCTTGGTTGATGTTCTACATGGTGCTGACGTGGCATGGTAACGTGGCTGCTGACGTGGCGTGGTGATGGTGGTTGGGAGCAGGGAGGGCATCTATGCGCTGAGGAGCGGGGTGGACGGGCTGTGGAAGCCGTGCCTGCTCAACCAGGACAAGTTCGCGCGGATCGAGGGCGAGGAGCAGCGAAGTTATCGCGACCAGATCCTGCACCACATTCACTCGTACGCTTGTCTCTCCTCGATGATAAAGACATCCTTGGATGTGGCCATGTGGCGGTGGAGCTGACCTGCGGTCTTCTTGTGAGCAGCATGGTCGGTGACTGGTCCAAGGCCCAGTTCTCCACGGGCGCTCCGATGTAAAGAGCTGGCTCCACTGCTGAGCGTCAACCGAGTAGCACTGCAACCATCACGTACAACCATCATTGTCAGACTTCACTTGTCTCTTTTGTAGAAGACACTTTATTGTACAGATCTTTTCACCACACACCTTCCGGTCTCGCCATGTTGTCTTGTTGTCGTTGAAACACCAACACCTTGTGGCTCTGGTGACCTTGTAGGTACCTTGTGGAGAGCAAAGGCATCCTCCACACGGTGACATGGGTTGCGTTCTCCACTTCATGTGCCCTTTCTGCTGAAGCGTGATCCCACATTATCTGGCAAAGCGTCATACGGCTTCACGGCGTGCTTGTTTCGCGCAGCATTTGTGAGACGAGTAGCGCCCCCCCCCCCGCACACCTACAACAAGGGCAGATTGAAGCAGCAATTCACAAACCTCTTCACACCTCGCAGCACGACACAGCAAGATGAGAAGAATCGCAACTCGCTCGCACTTGGTCACCCCTCAGCAGATGGCTTCGCTTGCCCCTCTGGGTACGCACGCGCGCACTCGACCGCTCACAGCTCTGGTCCATTTTCATTACTCATGTGATGCGAACACAGGCGCGCGATCCATGCATGCCGGTGGCAGCTTGAACATCCCCAAGCCCACCAACGAGCCCAACAGCATTAACAACGTGCGTAGGATGATTCCATCTTTTCATCATTAATCTACAATTCAATCAATCTCACTCGGTGCCAATAACAGGAGGCCCAGCGTAATGCCACGCTCGCCAAGGTGGCCGAGCTGCGCAAGGGTAAGCTCGACGTGCCTCTCATCATCAATGGCAAGGAGGTAAGTGATCGATTTCCTCCGTCTCCGGATCTCACCAAGGCCCCTTGCTGATGGAATCTTTGCATCTCTGTGGCAGGTGAGGACTGGCAACACTGGCGATATCAGGCCGCCGCATGACCACCAGCACCTGCTCGGCGTCTACCACAAGGCCGGCGAGAAGGAGGTCAAGGAGGCCATCGAGGGTTCTCTCGCTGCCCACAAGCACTGGCGCAACCTCGCGCCCGAGCACCGCCTGGGCATCTTCATGAAGGTATGTAGTAGCGGCCTGATCCCACCAGTGTAGTCGTCACCGCCAATCAAGCCCAGTGCTCACCTCGGCCATGATTTCATCATGTCTGCATGTGTGCCGTGTTATGTTGAACGCAGATGGCGTCGCTGCTGGCGACCAAGTATAGGCCGCTCCTCGCGGCGTCGACGACGCTCGGCCAGGGCAAGAACCTGTTCCAGACCGAGATCGACACGCCGTGCGAGGCCATCGATTTCCTCAACTTCAACGCCCACTACGCCGAGCAGATCTACAACGAGCAGCCTGCTTCCGGTGCGCGCTCTCTGTCTCTTCTTCTTCTTCTTCTTCTTCTGACCTTTGTCGTCGCGTGCAGAGTACGTCGACCCCTACGGCCGCGGATCAGTGCGGGCGTGGAACCGGGTGGAGTACAGGCCGCTCGAGGGGTTCACCTACGCCGTGACGCCGTTCAACTTCACCGCCATCGCGCTCAACCTGGCCACCGCGCCTGCCATGCTGGGCAACACGGTCGTGTGGAAGCCCTCCGACCACGCCATCCTCTCCAACTACTACCTCACCCAGCTCTACAAGGAAGCCGGTATTTATTTGTTCTCACTTATTTAGAATGTTATTATTATTCTTATTATTGAGTAATTACTGTTTGTGGTGGGCAGGCGTGCCGGACGGTGTGATCAACTTCATCCCGGGTGACCCTCAGCTGGTGACCAAGGTGGTCCTGGAGAACCCCAAGCTCTCCGCCATCCACTACACCGGCTCCACCGATGTCTTCAGGCACCCGCGCACCTTCATGTGTTTCGTTTCACGCGACGATCTCGCTCAACTCCTACGTTTCTGCCTTTACTCATCCACGGCCACACTCATATCCGCACACAGGCTGTTGTGGAAGGGCCTGGGCGACAACATCGACCGCTATGCCAACTACCCTCGCCTGGTCGGTGAGACCGGTACGCTGCTGCTCCCAGAGCCCTCGCACACAACTTTTCCGGAAGCGTCATGTAGGGGCTGATATCATCACGAACCCTCTCTTGTGGCGGGGCGCCCCAACAGGCGGCAAGAACTTTGTGTTCGTGCACCAGTCGGCCGACAAGGACGCCGTCGTGACGGCGCTGCTTCGCGGTGCCTACGAGTTCTCGGGCCAGAAGTGCTCCGCTGCCTCCAGGGCCTACGTGCCGGCGAGCATGTGGAAGGAGCTCAAGGGCAAGCTCGTGGAGGGCATCAAGAGCTTCAAGGTGGGCAACCCGGAGGAGCTGGACACGATGGTGGGACCGGTGATCCACAAGGCCTCGTTCGAGCGCTGCAAGTCGTTCATCCAGACTGCCAAGTCCGACTCGAACACCTACACCATCCACGCTGGTATGCCCCTTCCCCCTCCAGCCAAGGCTGTAGCCACACAGGGCGACTCATTGGCCCATTCGTGTCGCGTGTCGTGTCGTGTTGCGTAGGTGGCGTGTGCGATGATTCCAAGGGCTACTTCGTGCACCCGACCCTCGTGGAGACCAAGGACCCGCACGGTACCGTCTTTCGTTCTTCCGCTCCTCGGGCACGGCGCCTGAGAAATGATGCCTGACTTACGGTTTTTTGTTTGTTTGCCGCGGGGGCGCAGGCGTGCTGATGGAGAAGGAGATCTTCGGCCCCATCCTCACGGTCTACGTGTTCCCCGACGAGCAAATCGAGGACACCCTCCACATGGCCGAGAAGTCCACCTACGGTCTGACCGGCTCCATCTTCGCCAACGACAGGTGCGCCGTCCGTCGTGTGATGTTTGTCGCGTGGTATCTCACCGTTCACTGTTTTGTCTGTGCGCAGGTACTTCGTCAAGAAGGCCATGGACGTGCTGGAGTATGGCTGCGGCAACCTGTACATCAACGACAAGCCCACGGGTACGTGACGGCTTGGTTTCTCTTCGTTCTCACCTCTCGCTCACCTCACACATGTGATGCGCACGCAGGCGCCGTGGTGGGCCAGCAGCCGTTCGGCGGGTCGAGGGCGTCGGGAACCAACGACAAGGCGGGCGGCAAGCACAACCTGCTGCGCTTCGTCAACGTGCGCTCCATCAAGGAGAACTTCGTGCCCGACACCAACCCCTTCTACCCCTACATGTCCGCCCCCAAGCACTGATCTGCCGGCAGGCCTCTTCCACCATTGTCGCCGCCTTGTTCTGCTCCGCTCACTTCTTGCAAGCTTTGGCCACAACAAAATTGATGTTTCTTCTTGAACCTTGGTTGATGGTGCTGTGGCAGCACCAAGGAAGGAGCATGTGCGCTTTACATGGGCAGGTGGAGGCTGTCGGTGGTGTCGAACCAGGAGGGGACGACGGGCTTGTGTGGCGAGGACATGGACGACTTGTCCAGGCGCCGCGGGTTCTCGCCCATGAGGGGCCACAGGAGCCGCTTGACCAGCTCCAGCTTCTGCTTGTTGACGTCGTTCTCCCGCCCGGGCTTGCTCTTGGGCGTCTTGAACAGCTTGCGCCGGAACTCCTTCTCGTAGTACTCCGCCACCGTCTCCGACTGCAGCGACGCAATCGTCCTATCGGGCCTGTGTGCCGTGTGCCGTGTGCCGTGTGCCGTGTGCCGTGTGCCGTGTGTCGTGTGTCGTGTGCGTGTGCGTGTCGTGTCTTGTCAGACGGCGGCTGTCAAGTCATGGTGAGTCGGGAGGGGAGGGGTTACTTACCAGGAGGACTTTTTGCGGAGGAGGAAGACGAAGATGTCTCGCACGGCGGTCAGCAGGAGGGCCGAAGCCGTCTGCGCCGTCTGCTTGTCGTGCAGGGATCGGAGAAGCGCGCTCAGGAGCTCCTTGCCCACCAGCTCCTCCATCACCGGATGATACAGCATGCCGTTCTCTGATCGGTGGAACGTGTCGTCAGTAGGGCCGAGCAATAAAAAGAACGAAGAGAAAGAAGGAAAGAGAAGAACGACGATTTAGGGGGGGGGGAAGACGCACGATCGAGGACGGAGAGAAGCCGCGGGACGAGGGGGAGTGCGCGCATGAAGGCTTGGGAGTCGGGCCAGTAGTGGACGAGACCCACGAGACCGCGCATCAATTGCACCGCCACAGCCTGTTAGCGTGTGTGTGTGTGTGTGTGTGTGTGTTCTCATTGATCAGGCGGAGAACAGGAAACGGTTGATTGGGGGGGGAGGGGTGGTACCTCCTGGGAAAGCAGCGAGGCGGCGAGGGGCGACGGCCGGAACATCTCGCCCTTCTTGGTGCCCTCGCTGGCGGCCAGCAGGATCGACTCCATCAGCGCCGCGTAGTCCCTGCAGCCAGCGCCACGTCATTCATCGTCAGTTGAAGTTATAACTCGACACTTGTACGACTTGACCCACGAATAAGAAGACGACGACGACGACGACACGAGAGAAAAGAAGGGCCAGCGGTCGTAGTGGTCATACCGAGTGAGGTCACGAAGCAGCTTCTCCTCCACCAGCTCATCCGCTACCGAGCTCGATTGCCTGCGTAAAAGAAGTTGTCAGCCTTTTATTTATAACTAAAAATCTCGAATAAACAAAAAATAAAATAAATAAATAAAAATAAATAAACGAGAGCAATAAATAAATGATAAATAAATATATATAGAAATAAATAAATAAATACGCACGCTTGGCCCTGGGTTCGCCGCTGCATCTCGGCCCACGAGGCGAAGAGCCGCTTGACGAAGAAGTCGAGCAGCTGCGGCAGGATCGCGTGGAGCATGGCCCACCACGGCTGCGGGCAGTTCTGAACAAACGGGATCACGAACTGCTCTGCTCTCGCGCGACACTCCCAGGTAAGTACTACACACGTGTGTGTGTCGTGTCGTTGGTCGTGTCGTGTCGTGTCGTGTCGTGTCGTGTCGTGTCGTGTCGTGTCGTGTCGTGTCGTGTCGTGGTAGAGGAGGAACGCAACTGAGCAGCGGGGCGAGATGTCGGTTCTGCATGTGGACCAGGTGGACGAACACGTATTCGAGCAGCATGCGCTCGATCCCCTTCGAGTAGAAGTCCTCGCCGTAGGTCGTCATCCGGCCGAGCAGAGCATACCTGACATACCACACAGACAGAGCAACAACACCACCAGTTTGATCAATGTTAGTGTTGCATAGCAACAACCGAAGAGGCCAGCTTGATTGATTTTGATTGATTGATTGATGGGGGGAGGGGGCAAGGGGGTACGAGTTCATGCGCATGGAGCTGAGCCACGAGGTGGCGCTCTTGATCTGGGAGCCGATCGTGGTGGGCTGATCCTCCAGCTTCGTGTACTGGCCTGCACCCGCACACACACACACACACACACACATCACCACCACCATCATCAGCACCCCGGGGCGTGGCCTCGGTCGTGCGTGGGCACCCAACGTACCCAACAACTCGGCCACGGCCTTGTTGTCAAAGTCCAGAACGTGGTGCATGGCGAGCGGCAGCTGCTCCCTGTTCGAGAGAGAAAGAAGAGAAACAAAAAGAAAAACCATTAATGGTTGAAGGCCGCGTGGTGGTGGTGGTGGTGGGGGGGGGCAAAGAGGTGGCGTACCGGACTTCGGGGGTCCAGATGGTGTGGATGCTGCGGAGGAGGGCCAGCAGGTTGGGCAGGATCTGCATCAGCGTGACCGACATCGGGTGCCGGTACGCCCCCTCCCGCGCCCCGCTCAGGAAGCCGCCCTGTCCACCCACCCACGCATCAGCTGCTGCACCGCCCTTTTGATTCGAACACGGCACACACACACGACAACGGCACACACGGCACACACACAGGGAGAGAAGGGAATGGGGTACGGCGGCGAGCTCCTGGGGGTCCTTGGGCACGGCGGCTCGCTTGGCGACGGCGAGGAAGGTGTTGAGGAGGTGGTACATCTTGCGCACGCCCATGGACTGCTGCAGCGACACCGTCGCCGGCGAATTCTCCTCGAGCGGCCCCTGATGTATGTCACCACCACCAGCCACCAGCCACCAGCCACCAGCCACCAGCCACCAGCCACCAGCCACCAGCCACCAGCCACCACCGACACGACGTGGCATAGCAACAACGACACGACAACGGTGAGTGGAGGGAGTGGGCGGTGAAGATCGATGATCGAAAGAGAGAGAGAGACGCACCTGCAGCTTCTGCTTGGTGATGACGCCGATGAAGTCGAGCAGGGCGGGCACGTCTGAGACGAGGTTCGTCAGCATGGACGACGTCCATTCCTGTGTGTCTTGTGTTGTGTGTGTGTGTGTGTGTGTTGCCGACGTCAGCAATTGATGAGGAAAAGCCCGCGGGCTCATCGGTTGGGTTACCTCGAGCGGCGTCTTGAGCACAGCCAAGACAAAGGCCTCCTGCTTCGCCAGATTCCTGAACGCGTTGCTATGGAACGACACATACCAAGCGCGCAGATAAGGAAATTATGACCATAATTCACTGAATGTAGGGGGAGGGCGAGGCGTAGAAGGTACCTCACAGCGACGAGGGCTTCGATGAGGTTGGCCTTCTCCTCCTCGAGCAGGAGGCCCTGGGCGTAGATCTGGCCGATCATGTTAAGGATGCTCTCGAGGTGCGGCAGCAGCGCGTCGGGGATCTCGTTGCAGATGTAGATGAACGTCTGCGAGGCCCGCCGGCGCGCCTGCGTCGTGCTGACCGACAGATCGGTGACCGACGCCGCGCTCAGTTCCTCCGGCGGCCGGAACGTCACCAGCTCCAGCAGCTGCACGACCACCACCACCGCAGTGTCGTCAGCGAGGAATGTAAAGCATGCCACGCTCGTGTGTGTGTCGTGTGTGTCGTGTGTGTCGTGTGTGTGTGTCGTGTGTGTGTGTCGTGTGTGTCGTGTGTGTGTGTGACATACCTTGGGCAGCACGTGCTGCAGGGCGGCGGGAGCGAACGCGTAGTAGGAGCAGAAGCCCTTCCACGCCTCCACCAGGCACGTCAACAAGAGCGAGTTCTGGCCGACAAGAACGAAGAACGGAGAACGTGAGCGTGACGCGAAGGAAATAGAACGAAGAGAGGAGAGCGCACCGTGGCTTTGTAGTTGTAGAGGAGACCCAGCAGACTTTCAACGCACGCGATGGCCGCGGCCTGGGTCGATTGAAAGCAAGAAGTGGTGGTGGTGCGGAGGTAAGCAGCCAAGCAAGTCGCCGACACGAGAGAATGAAAGAACGAAAGGAAACAGAAAGGCGCACGTTGCTCTCGGGCTGCGAGAAGATGCCGGCGAGGCCACGGAGCGCGGCTTCCACGTGGAGGATGGCCCCGTCGAGGCGGACGTACGTGTAGCTCGCCTTCGTCACCCCTGCGCGGTCGTGGTCGTGAGCTCAGCTGAAAACAACAACACCAACAAACGAACAAATCGTACCTGGAGGGATCTCTGCGACGAGGCACGCCTGTAATCGCTCGCCGGCGGTGCGCAACGCGAGCTCGGGCTGGGCGAGAGGAGAGAGATTGGGTCATAAGTCTGCTGGTCCAAGGGACAAGAGGACCCCTTGAAGGGGGGGGGCGTGAGTAGGGGGCAAGCACCTGTTTGGCGGCGATGGCGGTGTAGACCTCGCAGGCCCTGTGCCGATAGGTGCCAAAGACCGTCGTGTAGGCCTCGGCGTCCTCATAATCGTTATCAATGTACTCGATTGTGGCCTGTGTGCGTGTGCGTGAGTGTCGTGTGCGTGAGCCGAGAGCACACACACACACACACACCGCATAGAACGAGGTGTCCATAAGGCAAGAGTGAGTCTGCGTACGTGCAGCGCGGCCGGGTATCCGGCGCGTTCGGCGTCGCTCAGCTCGTAGGGGATCTTGAAGTCCTTCATGTCGCACGCGGCCAGCATCTGCGGGAAGAGCGACGCCAGCGACGGGTGGTTGCCCATGGCCTCGTTCTTCAAAAGCATGTTCCAGAACGTCAGGGCCTCGATGCTGATCTGGAGCGACGCGTGCTGCGCCACCATCACCATCAACGCCAAATATCTGTCGACACCAAAGAGCGAAAGAGAAGAGAAAGAGAGAAGAGCGATCGTTCTGTCAGCGCTGGGGGGGGGGAACAAACAAACAACGCAGGGCCAGAGCTCGCGTACTTGTCGTAGTTGGGAGGAATCTTGGTGTCGGCGAATTGGAGGTGCTTCTGCCCCAGCAGCGACAGGAACTGGAATAGGGCGGTGGGCGAGGGTGGGGTGAGGGCCGGCACAAACTCGCGAGTGAGAAAGGAGAGGGGGAGGGGCCAAACCGAAGCGAGCTTGACGTGGAAGCTGTAGTCCTCCTCGGGATCGGTTCGGGCGGCGAGCGCCGTGCTGATGGCCTCCAGGTGGTCAAAGCCGAACAATATCTGGTTTGAGAGGGTGGACAGGAGGAAGTCAGCGTCGACGGTTCGCATTGTCGCGCACGACACGCACGACACGCACCTTGAGCTTGTTATGCGGGTTCGGGGCCTGGCCGAGGACGAGCAGCAAGCACTCACACGCGAGCTGATGGCCCGAAGGAGGAAAACGAGAGTTGAGTTAAAAGAGACGTGAAACGTCGGGTTGGAATCTCTCATGAGACATCATAATGGTATGGTACCGTGCGAAACTGGGTGTCTTGGAGCAGGGCGCTGAACACCAGGGGGAAGTCGTTGGCCAGAACCAGGCTGGTCCGCACAAAAACAACAAGTGTACAAGTGTAAGGGTAACCACAAATACACAAATATACAGACACAACAAACATAAAAGGCAAAACGTAAATAAAATGGAAAGAGGGAGCGTACTCGATCGGTGTCCATTCGAGGTAGGCCGCGATTGTGTTGAGCACCGCCGTGACGAGGTGGGCGTGCTTTTCGTTCCCTGTGCACGGAGACCAAGCCTCTTCAGACTCAAACGAAACGAAACGCCAAACGAAACGAAACGTAAACGAAACGAAGAGAGTGGGGCAAGGTACGCATTTGCATGAAGAGCTGGTACTGCATCTCGATGAACTTCTTGAAGAAGGCCATGATGTCCTGGAGCGCGTTCGTCAGCGCGACGTTCATCGCCCGGCGGCGCTTGTCGCTCAAGTGGTCGTTGTACACTCGAATCTCCTCCACTAGGTCCCGCAGCGTGATGAGGATCAACTCCAGCTGGGTGTCCTACTCATGTCGTGGCACACCGCGACGGGGGTGAGTGCACATTCTCCGCACCACACGACATGACCGCACACGCACATACACGCACACACGTCATCGCACACGCGCCACCGCACACGCACACGCGCAGGGAAGGAAGGATGGCGTACGCCCTGTCCAGCGATGGTGACGAGCTGCTCGAGGAACGTGGGCCATTTGTCGGGCCAGTCGCGAGCTGCGATCAGAATGATCATGGCCACGGCCTTTTCCTTGATGAACCTCTTCTCCACCGACAGGTCCTTCGTGCCCTGCTCGCGCCCATGCGACAATACAATAAAATAAAATAAAATAAATAACAAGAAATTAGAACGTCAGTCGGGCGCAACGAGGTGGTGGTGATGAGGTGTGGCGCCATCTTAAGGAGGAGGAGGACCTGGGCGAGATAGGTGAGGACAGCCGTGCGCACGTTCTCCTTGCCGGCATGCGTGAGTCCGTCCCAGTGGCGGCGAATGAAGTGCTCCAGCAGGTGGAACCCAAAGAACCTCTGTGCATACCGCGGCAGACACCATACAAAACTCCCACAATAAGCATCACACGCTGGCGTGCCGGCCGGCAGTACCCGCCGCAGGGGCGCAGGAAACGTACGACTTCGTCGGCGAGGTTCTTGTCCATGAGAGCGTAGGCGTACAGCTCATGGGGCATGTCCGTCTTTTTGAACTCGTCCAGGAACTGTGCAGGAGGGGAGCATGCGCATGAATTAGGACATAGGCGGATGATCGAGACTACGTCTTTGATTGCGCGGCACAACCTCAATCATGTGGAATTTGTGTATAATCTGGACAAAATCTTAAGATGGGGAAATTGAAAATCGGGATTTACCTGCTGAGCGGCTCGCCTGTGGTCCGGCGTGGCTGCAGGAGAATGGATTGTGGAAACCGCGCGCTGCAAATTGTCCAACGTTCCATCATCAAGCCGCCTGGCGCCCTGCATCTTCACTCTCTCACAAAATCACTGCGGTGGTGTAAATTGTTTCCTCCTTTTTTCTGTCCCGCCAAAAACGCGGCCAGCGTTCTCGAACCTTCTCGAAGAAAAACTACAACTTTTTCAGGAAATTAAAAGAAAAGGATTTTCCCTGCATAGATCTGCGTGTAGAACAAGACGTGATGATGGAAGCGCCCAAGGTCGAGCAGGCCTCTCCTGAGGTGGCAAAGGAACTGGGGGAGGAAGACGATGCTGTGACGGCCTACGTGGCCCGATTCGCGGGCCTTCCATCTCGCGTTCGCATTCTGCCTGCCGATGGTTCCCTCCGCCCCCTCCTCGCCCTCGCCGGCTACCCAGGTGAAGAAGATGAAGAGGAAGACAAGAAGAAGCAGGCAACCGAGCAGCAGCAGAATCAAAACGAAGATGGAGAAGAGGAAGCATCTGGCGGCAGCGACGTCGTGAATCCAAAGAAGCAATGCGTGCTCGAGGGCGTAGTGGTCGGGCTCGACTTCGACCAGACCCTCGTCGTGGGGGCGGGCCTGGGCGCCGGCACTGCAGGCGGCGGGGTCCGCGTGCGCGGGGGCGACGACACCGTCACCACCCTGCAGACCCTGTGGGCCGCCGGCGCCCGCCTGGCCGTCGTCACCGCCGCCGCCGCCTCCCCCGACAACGCGCGCCTCATCGCCAACCTCCTCCGGCGCCTCGCCCTCGCCCGCGAGTTCGCCTCCGCCGCCCTCGACACCGCGCCCCTCCTCACCCTCCTCCGCTCCCTCGCCCCTCCCGCCGCCGCCGCCGCCACAGCCGCCGACGCTGCCTCGACCGCCGATGCGGCGACGACGGAGGAGACGACGACGACGAGGCCGGCGACGGCGGACTGCGAGCAAACGGAGAAGGAAGAGGAGGAGGTGAAGGAGGAGGAGAGGGAGAAGAGGGAGGAGAGGAGGAGGAGGCTGGAGCGGGAGACGAAGCGAACGGTGGCGCTGCTGGCGCTGTCCACGGGGCGACGGCCGGGCGACCTGGTTCGGATCGGGCACTCGACCATCGCATTCGACGCCGCCCGCTCGAAGGTGGGGACGCACTCTCAGCTGCCTTTAGGGCAAACCGTGTGTGTGCATTGCTGACATTCCGCTTCGATGACGTGTAGGCCACGTACCGTCTGGCGCAGATCACGGGTCCCAACGCCGGCGGCTGGTCGGCACTGCAGAGCCTCGCCGCCCACGAGGTTTGTTATTTGATTATTTGATTATTTGACTATTTTATTATTTAAAATGATACATGTGCGTGTGTGGTGTTCGGCACACAGGAGCGTGAGCTGTGTGCGGTCGACTGTCTGGCGGCCTACATGGACCTCACCGCCTCGCGTCGCACGCGCGAGGGCGCCAACATACCCGATCGCCTCCTCCTTTCTCTGTACGCGCACACACCGCACACACAGCGCTCGACTCTGCGATGGCGAACGATGGATCTGATCAATGGATCGCTTGGTAGGGACGAGGAGGAGAACGGGGTGCTCGACGAGAACGCCGTGTCGAAGCTGCTCGAGGAGGTCCTCGTGGAGGCCGGCATCAACCCGCAGTCGCCCGAAGGTTTGCACCCCACCCGCACGCCCTCAATTTCATTGTAGGCTCACCTCCACCGCGCCTGGGTGTCGACACACACACGTGCGTGTGTGTGGTGTGTGTGTGTGTGTGTGATTGGGGACGGCCAGCACGCGAGCTCTTCCAGGATTCGGCAGAGTTGGTCACTCTGGACGGAGGGGTCAAGATAGCGCGCTATCGCCACATCATGTGCGCTCGGTACCGTAGCTTCTCCTCCTTCAAAGACGACACGATACACGACACGACACGACACTCACCAGCCATGGCTGGGTGGTTCGGCAGGTACAACAAGCCGGAGGCGCTACTTGACTTTGTGACGCGGCTCGGGCAGACGCCACCAAAGAAGATTCTGTTCGTGGACGACAACTCGGACAACGTGTTCAACATGTTCCACTTCTTCGCCTCGCGTCAGCTAGAGCAGCTGGCCGCCGGGTACCGACACGACACGACACGACACACGAAGAATGCGCTGACCTGTGGTGGTGGGGGTGATGATGTGAGCAGGAGTGCGGTGGAGGAGACGACGAGCGTCATCAGCTGTTGGTTTCCCCCGCCCGAGGGCGGCAAAGCCGAATCGCACGATCCCCACCTCCTCGCCCTTCTTCGCCGCATGGCCGCCCTGTGAGTGCTGCACCAAACCAAAGCCACTACTTCATGTGTTCGCGACTCTTTAGCCACGAAAGTGCTCGGCGCTACCGACGCAAGAAGATGGAGCGGAAAGAAAGAAGCCGCCCGCTTCTACTGCGCAGTTGTGTGTTCCATTGAATGCTGGTTGTGTTCTATTGTAATCAATCTTCATAATCTGTTCAAAGTTGTTCGAAGCCGCGGCGAGACGCAACCGGCTGAAGACGAGCCCGGCTGCTGGTGCGTGCTGCTGCTGTGCTCCTGGCGGTGGTGGTGCGCCCGTTAACGGGCCACTCATTTGCGGTTGAGAAACCTGCGGGCGTCGCTGTTGATGATCCCGCCCACGTTGTGCATCATCAAGTCATCCTCTACATTCACCATTCACCACACTATCTTGCGTCAGTTTCCACCCACACTTGGTGCGTGTGCGGTGAGTGTGCGTGTGCGGTGTGTGCGGTGTGTGCGGTGTGTGCGTGTGCGGTAGGATCGGTTTACCGACTTCGTGGTCGTTGGTGAAGGGCTCCGAGAGATGCCGCGACAGCGGTCGCGACTGTCCGTTCCTCGCGACCGCCGCATCATCTTCGCCGTCGCTGATCACAAGATCGTCGTCGTCGTCTTCCTCCTCCGCGTCATCCGTCATCACCATGCCGCCCAGCAGCTTCTTCACCACCTGATTCACCTGCCGCGGCTTGTTGAGCGCCGGCGCCTTGCCATTGTCTCCGCCGTCATCATCGTCCACGTCGTCCATGCCCCAATCTTCGTCGTCGTCGTCATCGTCAGCGTTGGCACCCACCTTCTGCTTGCTGCTGCTGTTGTTATGCGTGTTGAGCTCCTCGAATTCGTCGTCGCCCTCGTCATCGTCATCGCCGATGCTCATCACGCCGGGCAGTCGCGAGGTGACCTTGCTGTCAACGTCGTCGCCCTCGAACTCGTCCCCCCAGTCCTCATCATCATCGGCCCCCTCCAGCTGCGGCTGGTTGGCTTGGCGAGCGTCAACGCCGGCGTCATCGTCCATCTCCATGACGTCGTCGTCATCGTCTTCATCGTCGTCGTCGCCGATCTCGATGCCCTCGAATGATCGGGAGGCGGCCATCGCTGGCGCGCCCAGCTTCTTGTTGGCCAGCGGGCTGTCAAAGTCGTCGCCCCAGTCCTCGCGGTCGCTGTCCGACGCCGGCGGCGAAACCTCGCCAAAGCCGTCCTCCTCACTGCCCCCAGTGCCGCGTCAGCTCGTGCGTGTGCGTGTGCGTGTGCGATTGTGATTGCGCGGCTGATGGGGGCCTTGGGTACCTGTCGTCCGTGCGTGCCTCTCGGCGCCGCGGCGAGAGCTGCTTCCCGTCGTCGAACTCGAGGTCCTGGTCGAACCTGTCGCTGTCGTCCTTGAACTTGTCCAGCTGCGGCAGCACCAAGGCAGCACCAACAGTGAGTGGTGTGTGTGACGTGGCACGACGTGGCGTTGGGTGGTGATTGGGGGGGGGGTTGATGGAGGTGATGGAGCTCACCTTGGTGGGGATGCCCGAGTTCTGTCGGGCGGCGACGCGCACGGCCGAGGCGACGGTGACCGGCGCCGGGAACTTGGCCGGCGACGAGTTGGCCTTCCGCCACGCGCGGCCCTTGGTGTTGGCCTGGTCCACCACCCGGATGATGTACATCTGGCGCAGCCCGTCGAGCAGGAACCGCTTGGGGTCCTTCTCGGGCGCCGTCCAGCAGCCCATCTCCTTCTGGTGCTCCTCCTGACGCCGCCGCCACTGATTGAGCTGCACACGACACACACACGACACACGCGACGCACGACACACGACACACGTTAGTTGGGTGCTTGTTGGAAGAAGGGAGAAGCGCGTCGGCGCGTACGGTGTCTTCGCCCAGGTCGAATTCCTTGGGCAGCTCGGCAAAGTAGGTATCCGTCTCGCCCCACTTCTGGAGCTCTTCGTCGTCGCCGAAGGCGTCCATGTCGTCGTTCTCCTCCTCGCTCGCCTTCACCCACCTGCCGTCCACCTGCGTGTCGTGTCGTGTCGGGTTCGCAACGCGACCATGACATTTAGCTCGCGCGCGTGCTGCATCGTATGCGAGCGCTATGTGTGTGTCGCGTGTGTGGTGTGTCGCGTGTCGTGTGCGCACGTACCAGGCGCATGTCGCCGGCCATCTTGCTGGCGGCCACGGGGTTGGTCGGGTTGAGGTAGCGAATGAGGAAGAGCCGCGGCTGGGACTTCTCCTTCTCGGTGGGCTCCACCAGGTCCCGCTTGATCCACTCGCCCGTGTCATCGAGCACGTAGTCCTCCTCGCGCAGCGCCCGCGCGGCCTTGTGCGGCGACGACTTGCGCAGCGGCTGGCGGTGGTGCGCGTCGATCGAGAGGTTGCTCTTGTTGCCACTGTTGCTCGCACCCTGACTCTCATCGTCGCTCTCGAAAGCGCCGTCGTCGTCAGGGCTCAGTTCCTTGCCGCCCTCCCACACCTTCCTGTCCGGGTTGTAGCGCATGCCGTTCAACTCTGCTCGCACGCAGTGGGTAAGTAACTCGACACGAGACACGACACGCAACACGGCACGACACGACACACGACAGTACCGATCGGCTTGTCGGCACCGCCGGGCGGGAGGGAGATGAGCTTGGGTCCGCTGGTCTGTGTGGTGATGGTGGTGGTGGTGCCTCGGCTACCACCCCCCAGCAGCGCCGAAGGGCTGACAGCGTAGGGCTTGCCCTGCCGCTCCTTGCCCTTGCCCTCGCTGCTGCTGCCTCGGTTGGCGTTGATGTGCGCCTTGCTGTCGGCGGGCGTGGAGTCGCGCGAGCGGCTGGCTCTTGCGGTGCGCCGCTTGGTGTGGCGCTTGGTCTCCATTTTGTTGACGAGGGTCTCCAGCTGGGCGATGATGTCGTGCGCCTCCTTGACGTTCTCCTCGAACTGCTCCTCCTCCTCGCCGCTGTTGCCCGCGCCGCGCGACCTGGGCGAGCGCACCTCGCGGCGCTGTGGTGTATGGGCGAGCGAGTAGCGAGTAGCGGGGTCAACTGACAGAAGAAGCTACGCCAGCACAAACAACCACAAGGCCGGGCATGGTGCGTGTAGAGGGGCGGCTGCCAACAAGCGGTGTAAAATTAATTCAATGATGAGAAGGAAGTACCTGAGGGACGTCAAAAGGGTCGTGCTCTGGCACGGGCTCCTCCGTGCCGCCCCCCATCCCGACTAATTGGCACCCGCATAGGTAAGATTCAAATCAATCCATAAAATCAAAAGAACTGATTCGTTGAACTTGTAACAACGTACATCTGCTTGTGAGCCATTGAAGCATTACGAAACGAAATCGAGAGGCGTGGGCAATCGCGCCAGTCTTGTTCGAATTGAAAAAATTAATCCAAGTTGCCGCCATGATTTCTTTTCCTTTTCTCCATCAACGCAAACTAGCCGTTTCAGCTTTGGAACAAAATTAACAACATCCGCTATGGTGTAGTCGGTAACATTTCTGGTTTTCACCCAGGCGCCCCGGGTTCGATTCCCGGTAGCGGAATATCATCTTTTGCCGGTTTTGATGGCCACCAAACACAGGTGGCAATTTGGGAGCTCCTTTGCGTCAACCCACACAAGAGAGTTGCGGGTTTCTTTATTTCACTCACCCACCAGAAGAAGAACAAGATGCAGACCCTGCCCGGAGCCAACGACAAGGAGAAGCTTGACTCCCTCACTGCTCTCAACCACAAGGAGCAGGCGGTCTGGTTCTTGAACGCCTTCTGGAACTCTGTGGGCGAGGCCAACGCCGAGCAGGTGTGGTCTTTCAAGCAGAAGTTCGATGAGCTCGACTCGGAGAAGGTACGAACGGCCGCAAAGAGTTTAGTTTAGTTCGCCGATTCGCACTGTGCCCAGCGAGAGTCGAGCTCGATCTACCCATCTATAGTTTCAAAACCGTCAACGAAGATTGGTTCGAGTTGGGGGTGAGAGTAAATCGATTTTGTGTGGTGCTACGCAGCGTGCGGAGGGCAGCACTCTGGATGAGATGCAGGCCCACCGTTTCCTTGAGACCATCAAGGAGACCCTCACCGTCCAGGCCATGCGCGAGAAGCTCCGCTCGACCGGCGCCATCGCTGTACTCTCACCCTCCCCCTCATCATTCCCTTGCTCCCGCCTCGCTTCTCCGTAGAACGAAAGCGACACTCCTCGTCTTCGTTCTTTTTTTAATTAATTAATTAATCAATATTAATTATTTTCCCTGCTCATTTTCTTTTTTTGCCTCTCGAGACAGGGCCAGATCAGGCGCGTGCCCCTGACCCACTACCTCATCATGAAGTACAACGTCGACTGGCACGGTACGCTGTTCCCCCCGGCCGTGGAAAGAATGAAACGCGAAACGACGCGTCAGCAGACGTCAGCTGATTGGTTCGTTGTGTGCGGCGTGGGCGCACGCAGACCTGGTCAACGCCGTGCTGGGCGACATGGAGGAGATCAGGAAGGCGCAGCAGAAGCTGGACGAGGTGCAGGCCGCCCTCCGTGAGGCCGAGCAGCGCGAGCAGGAGTCCAAGCAGGCCAAGCGCGAACTCGACGCCGCCCTTAAGGACGTCAAGGACCAGGTACGCCCACATTTTTTGTTTTTGTAATGCACTTGCCAGAAGTTGACACGACACACACAACACAACACGACACACGTGCAGGAGGACGCCAGGAACAACAAGACCGCCGAGCTGCAGAAGAAGAGCGAGGAGGGTGGTCTCGTCTCGAGGAACAGGGCCAAGGCCGAGCTCGCCCAGCACCTCGCCGAGGTACGCCTCCCCCTACCAGCGCATGTTAAGGTGGCTGCTGACGTTGGTGTCGATGCCTTCGTGGTGGCCACCAACCAATCAGGATCCGCTGCCCCTGCGCAAGGCCAAGATCACGCTGGAGGCCGCTGTGAAGAAGGCCGACAAGGCCGCCATCGCCGCCGAGGCCGCCGTCGAGGAGGCCAGGGTCAAGTTCGATGAGGCCCAGGCCTACCTGGAGAAGGTCAAGAAGGGCGGCAGCCCCAAGGGCGCCCTGTGGTGGATGGAGCGGGAGCTGCTCGAGGCCAGGGCCTACCTGCCCAAGTCCAAGGGCGGATACAACAAGAGGGAGGGCGCCGCCCAGTAGGAAGTGCTTCCCGTCGAACGAGCGCCTTGTACACCACCAAACGCCTCTCTGCCTTGCTTGCATCTACAATAAAGATCCCCCCACAAACGGATCATCTGCCTCTAGCGCTCTATTAGGGCACAAGTACGGAGGAAAAGTGTGTGTGGCCCATGCGCGAATGAGTGCTTGGTGCGCAAGCGCAAAATCTTTGGAGGGGGGAAAAGAGAGCTCCCCGGGCAGGGTTCGAACCTGCGACCTCACGGTTAACAGCCGTGCGCTCTACCAACTAAGCTACCGAGGATTGCCTACCATCCAGCGCACGTACCGCAGAGGTGGAAACCTGTCGAATTGCAATGAACCAGAAGTTGTGACTTGATTGTTGATTTCTGGGTGCAGAACCTTGGCGTTGCGTTGTTTCTGCCGCAGCTGTAGTGCTGGACGTGCAATGGCCGTGGTAACCAGCCGTTATGTGGTTGGCGCCCACTCATGGTTTGGGTGGCAAAGTAAGTGTGGCGTTGCAAACAGAACAAGAAACTTTTGCCCAGTGCCCGCCATGGTGAGGTATTGTAAGAATTTCATTTTGAGCCTCACCCAGAGGTGTCGAGGCAACACACAAACCCAACAAAAACAAAACTGGACTTGAAGTTGAGAGCGCAAGAGGAGCCCACAACAACCAAAAGTTAGAAGGAGACATAGGGGGCGATGAGCACACCAGCGACGGGGAAGAAGTTCATAGTGATCGCACCCGCTGCCACGAATGACCGGCGAAAGAAGCTCAACGAGCGGCGGGCCACGGCCAAGCCCTCCAGAGAGGAGGTTGCCGAGATGCGCCGAAAGATGAAAGAAGAAGACGACGACGACGACGATGAAGACGAGGACGAGGACGAAGACGAGGGGGGAGAGCAAAAGAACGAAAGAGAAGCCAACAACAAGAAAAAGAAGAACGAAAGCGAAGGAAGCCCGCGGGGGAGGGTGACCGCGAAGGAGAGCGAGGAGAAGCGGGAGGAGCTGCTGGCCAAGGCCACCGAGCTGAGGGCCAAGGGCCAGGAGCTGCGGGCCAAGGGCCTGGAGATCAAGAGCCAGATGCGGCGCCGGCTCGAACGCCTGAGCAGCCTCCAGCAGCGCTCCATGGAACGCGGCCGACGCCTCACCATCGACGCCTACCAGGTATTAATATTTAATCATTTTAATATCTAAATATCTAAATAATTGACATATTTATTTATTTATTTGATATGGTGTTGCTGACGTTACGTGCCTAGGTGGACAGCATTGCGGCCAACATTCTCAAGAAGGAGGTGCAGAAGGGTGCGCACTCTGTACTGCCACCGACCGCTGGCAACCGTTGGACTCATCCCTCGCGCGTGTTGTGTGCCGTGGTGTGTGTGGTGTGTGTGCCATGTGCGGTGATGTGCGTCGTGGTGTGTGTTGTGTTTGCGTGCGTGTTGTGTGGATGGCAGGCGGCGAGGACGCGAAGCCGCTGCGCGGGATTCTGAAGCGGGCGATCGAGCGGAAGAAGATCCAGCAGCGCATGACCCTCCGCGCCGCCTCTCTCCGCGAGTACGAACAGAAAATGGCCAAAAGCGTTCGGTGCGTCGCACGACCCGACACACGCGTGCCGCACACGACACAGACACGACACGCACACGCGGTGCTGACGTGTGCTGACGTGTGCGGGCAGGTGGGACTTGACGGAGGCGCAGCAGGTCAAGGAGAGCGAGCGGGAGCGGATCGAGCAGGAGAAGAACGACCTGGAGCGGCGCGCGCGGGACGACCGCTCGTCGCTGGTCAAGCTCGTCCTCGAGATCCAGCGGCGCGAGCTCGAGGACCGCAAGCACCTCGAGGAGAAGCGCAACAGGAGCGCCAGAAGGTACGTACCCTCCTCGCGACTGTGCGCCGCACTCGTCGCGCGCTCGTTTGACCCTGTGTGTGCGATGCGTGTCGTGTGTGTCGTGTCGTGTCGTGTGGTTGAGTGGCGCAGGATGCGCAGGAGAATCTGTATCAGCGCGAGTTGGAGCTGCGTGAGATCGAAGACCAGATCAAGTTCCTCGAGCAGTTCGAATTCGAAGCCACCCAGGTACGACACGACACACACGACACATACGACACACGACACAGCACACGCCAACCGCACTCGACACACACGGCGCGCGCAGGCGACGGAGGAAGATCAGGAGATTGTGCGGCTGCGGGAGGAGATCAAAGCGCTGGAGACGGAGCTGCTGGAGAACATACGGGTCGAGCGCGAGCGGCGCCAGCAGCAGCAGGAGCAGGCGGCGGCGTCGGGTGGCTGGCAGCCGGCCGTCTCTCCGCGCGAGGAGGAGGAGGACGAGGAGATGCGCAGCCTCAAGGATGAAATCCTCAAAATGGTACGCGCACACCGCACACGCCTTGTCGCACACGCTCGACCGCACACGCACACGCTTGACCGCACACGCGCGCACAGGGCTTGGGTGCGTCGGAGCTTCAGGAGGCGACTGCGGTGGCGGTGGCGGCGACGGCGACTGCGGCGGCAGCGACGGAGGAGGACGACGCGGTGCCCGAGGAGGACGAGGAGACGGAGCGGGCGGTGGCGCAGCAGCTCGAGTACGAGCGGCAGGAGCGCGAGCGGCTGAGGGCGCAGGAGGAGGAGCTGCGGCAACGAGAATAGAAGAGGAAGAGCAAAGAAAGAAGCAGGAGAAAGCGAAAGCGGAGGAAGAAGAGCGAAAGAGGCAACAGGAGGAAGAACGAAAGAGAAGAAAAGCGAAGGAGGAGGAAGAGGAACGCGAACGCGAAAGCGAACGAAAAAAGAACGAAGCCGCCGCCGCCGCCGCCGACGAAGCGAAGAGAAAGGCCGAAGCCGAGGCCGCAGCCGCCAACAACACGACCACCACCCCGGCCCCGAAGAGGGCCGTCAGCCTGCCCGACTCCTCGCCCTCCTCGGCCCCGCCCCTGTCATCGTCACCCTCGGCTCCGGCCCTGTCTTCGTCGTCGTCGCCTTCATCATCGACGTCGACGCCTCCGTCGGGCTCGGCGGTGAGTCGGGTGGCGGGCGCGGCGCGCGGGGGCCGGCGGGCGAGCGCGGGCGACAAGAAGAGCGGCGGCGGCTTTGGCACCCTGACGCGGGGCGACGCCAAGGGCCTCCGCGCCAAATGGGAGTCCATCAGCGCCCCCTCGTCCCCCTCCACCCCGCCCGCCGCCGCCGCCACCGCCACGTCACCCGCCGCCCGCAAGTCGCCCCTCGCCGGCGCCTCGTCCGCCTCATCTTCATCTTCATCGCCCTACAAGCCATCGTCGTCCTCTTCATGATACGATCAACGTCAATGCCGTGTGTGTGCGTGTGTGTACGAATAGAAAACTGTTTCGCATTCCAACGACCGCACGCGCGCGTGGTGGGAGGTGGGTGGTGGACAGTTCTAGGAGGTGCGGGCGGTGATCTGGTGCTGGATGGCGTCGAGCTGGGCGAGCACGTCCTTGAGCTGCTCCCCGTCCATCTCGAACCGCACCAGCTTCTCCTTCGCCCCCTCGTCCTGCTGCCCACACACACCCACTGACGTCAGCACACACGTTACACGAGTGTGCTCGAGACACCGCGGGCCAAATGTAGGTAGAGGACCTTCTTGCCGAGGGTGAGTTCGACGATGGCGACGGGCTCGTTCATTTCGGAGACGGCGCGCGCCTTCGACTTGACGTCGATCCGCCACGCGAACTTGTGCAGCTCCGTGCCCCACATCGCGTTCTTTCGCACCTTGGCGTGCAGCTGTCGTGTGTTGTGTGTGTCGTGTGTCGTTGGTCATGAGTGTCGTGTGTCGTGTGTGTCGTGTGTGTCGTTGGTTATGAGTGTCGTGTGTCTCGTGTTGTGTGTGTTGCGTGCGTGCTCAGGGTACCTTGTCTTTGTTGAGGGTCCAGAACTTGACGATGATCTCCTGCTGCGTGGCCGAGAAGTCCGACTAGACACGACGACGCCACACGGACACGGCGTCAGCTCCTCGGTGCACACAACACGCACACGCACGCACGACACGTCGTGTGGTGGAGAGTCGTGCCTTCTTGAGGGCCTGCTGGAGCTGTGCGGGCTGGCGGTTGTGATAGGCCGACTCGCCGACCAGCGACACACAGCGGTCGAACATGGCCGCGACATCTGTATTTTTATTTTATTATATTGTTATTTTTTAAACAAATATAAATAACAATTGCGAAATAAATAAATAAATAAATACAAAAGAGAGCACGCGGGGGCGGCACCGTCGACGGAGACGTCCTCGTGTTGGGGGAAGACCTGCTCCTTGATGAAGGCAGGTGTGATTTGCTGATCGTTCTCGAATGTGCGCTTCACCACCCCATTCAACACTGCCGCAAATCGCGCCGGGTCCTCCATCGCTCCTCGATGTGTTGTGATTGAAAATAAAAAACCCAAATCGCTCTCGTGAAATCGTCACCCACTTTTCCCAATTCGAAAAAAAATTGGGAAACACACTTTTGATAACTGAAAAAAAAAGCAATTTTAATTTCAATTGAAATTACAAATAAAATAGTTGAGCTGCGGACATGGAAGTGGTGGAGTGGGCGGAGGACATCGACGAGTTGGCGGAGCTGTTCGAGCGGCAGGAGGGGCTCGGGCGACGACGCGTGCGTGGCATCTGCGGGCGCGTCACGAAGGGCCGGACCGAAGACGACTTCCGCCTTCTCAGCGACGGACCCACCAAACGGTCTCCTACTGCCTTCCCCTACAATTGTGCAAGCGAGTGATGTGTTTCTAGCTTAATATCCACATTTATGTTGGACAATGTTGTATTGTTTGTTTACAACATTCTATTCCATACAATGTACATTCCAGGTTGTCGTGGGTGGTGGGGCCGGATGGCCTCGAGCAGTTGTGTGGAAAGAGCCCGCGGGACATGCTGCTGGCCATCGGCAAGGACACGCCCTGGCTCCGCCGCACCCTCGACAGTACTTGGCCCTTCTATATATTTAGATATAAATTTAGATATATATTTAGATATATATTTCAAGAAATGATTACTAAATTCATCAGCGAATGCGCGTGTGAGCTGATCAACATGGAATGTGTCGTGTTCAAAAAGAGGGCTATCGGTTCAGGCTGTGCCTGTTCCCCGAGGTGCAAGCGAGGCAGGCCACATGGGACGGAGTGCTTGAGCTCGTCCGCGATGCCTTCCCCGAGGCCTGGCCCCACGTGGAGCCCCACGTCCACGTATGCGCCTCTCTTCTATGATTTCTGGTTGACCTATAGTGTATATTCGTATAATATAGTGTATGACTTTATAATGCACATATCCCTCAACAGCTGTTGCCCAAGTACACGCTTGAGGAGGTGCAGGCGCGCTTCACCGAGTTCGACATTCACGCTTCGTTTCGAGAGGGCCGGGACCATCACCACTTCATGACCCTCGAGCGGTACGTCTTCCTTCGCTGGCCTTCATCATGATCTCACACGCGCACGCGCGCATGCGCAGATATCTGAAGTCGAGCGGGTCGTTGGGGCACACGAGGGCATTCCTCTACCACGAGGTCGGCCTCTCCCAACTCTTCCACGGCGACGGCTTCACCCGGACCGAGGACGGCCAAGTCGGTGCGTGTCTTCAAAAAAAAAAAAAAACGCCCAAAAAGCGCACACATGACAAACGCACACAACACGCACACGACACGCACACACACAAATCTCATTGCGCCCTCTGGCACAGGCTTGAGAGAGTACCTGGTGCCCAACCGCCCACTGACGTCATTCGCCAAGCACCGCAGCGTGGAGCTGCCCCTCGACCTGGACCCAGGGCTGCCACCCGATGCCTGATAAAGAAGTCAGCCCTTGGCCATGTCAATTTTTCTTTGGACGTGCCTGGCCAGACTCTGGTAGTCCTCGCCTGATATGTGCCCGAACCAACACATGCTTTGCATTTTGGGGACCACTCAGTTTGATTCCTGCCCTAGACACAGTGTAGTGCCACCTTCAAGATGACCTTACTGGCAAGAGGGAGCCAGGTAATTTGCACTCACTTCAGCTGATACAATGACATTAATTTCATTGCACAAGGTGTAGCCCTCCTTCACCCACTAAATTGAGTCATTGTATCATGTGTAAGCCTATATATGATTACTACCACACTTCTTGTCCACAACCCACCACTCATGGGAGTGTGAGGGGGCCTTGCATTGGCACTAAACAAACAGGGTTACTTCAATGTGCAGGAGACTGCCCTGGTTACAAGTGAGTAAGAGTAAGCTCCCAGACAGGGTGTTAGCTTCCACCACTGTAAAGGCAGCAGCATATCTACAACATCTAACCACAGGTAATACTAGCTCATTGGAACCATGCACAAGGAGTGTGTTTATTTTTAAAAGCTGTTTGGAAAGTGTACAAGTTTTATGTTTGCCTCACTCATGACATAGGTGAACAAACTAGTTTTACTCATTAGGCATGTCCAACCTGCATTAATCTATGAAGTTGTGAAGGGGCATTGTCAGAAGTAGAGGAGTCTGAAGAGACATGTGACATGTATTACTAGAGTATGACAAGAAAATGACAGATGATAATGACCTATTTAAGGTGTGAGAAGATAGATGTTGAAGAACGTTGAAATGACTGGGAGAGACACTAATGGCAATGAGGTCGTTGACGCTGTTGAGGGTGTGACTCTGACACCCCCCCTCAAACAAAAACAGTTACATCAGGAATTGAAGGAGGCGTAGGAGGTCATTGTGTTTCATGCGCAGGAGAGCCTTTGTGAGGATGTCAGCTGGCATTGTAGTCATCAGCTCATGCTTGAGGACTATGAGACCCTTCACAATCAAGTCACAGACATGATGGAGCTTGATATCATAGTGCTTGATCTGTGAGTGAAACATCATTTGTTGTTGGTTGGCGATGGCTATTGAGCTCTGGTTATTGTTGTGGATAGTGATTGGAATGGATTTGTTGATGTTGAGGCTTGAGAAGAACTTGTGGATGTAGATGGCTTGTTTGGTAGCTTCAGAGATTGAGTGGTATTTGGCTTCAGTGGATGAGAGCGCAACAGTCATCTGTGCCTTAGAGGTCCACATGATAGGTCCTCCAGCAAGCACAAAGAAGTATCCTGAGATGGACTTGCAGTTGATTGTGTTGCTTCCCCAGTCAGCGTTGCAGTAGCTGATGGGAACAAGGTTGATCAGACAGACCATAGTCAGGTGCTTGTAGGTGATGGCCAGGTCAGCGAGGGTACATGCCTAAAGGCCAGGGCTGAGGGGCTGACCATCATGGCGCTGGTGTTCACCATCAGCCAGGTCTCAGGCGCCCACTTCAACCTGTCCACCTCCCTCGCCTTCTCCCTGCGCCACGTCTTTGAGTGGTGGCGCCTCCTCTACTATCTGCCCACCCAGTTCATCAGTGCATCCAGTCATCATTGTGTGCATGTCGTGTTGTGTTGTGTTGACTGAGACTGTACTGGCGCACAGGAGCGATGATGGAGGGTCTGCTGGTGATGGGTTTTCTGGGGAAGGAGGGCAACATGGGCGCCACACTGCCTGACAGTGTAAGCATTGAGGCCAGCCTCGCCATGGAGGTCGTCTTCTCAGCGCTGATGAACTTACCACAGCACTGCTGGTGTACTCACCACCGTTGTTGGACTGGAATGCTTGCATGTGTGTTGAGAGTGGTGTTGATGTGATGTAGTCTTTCAGGTGATTGAGGACCTTGCTTTTCTCACTGAGGAAGTGGATGGTGGTGTGCTGGGTGCAGTTGTCAATGAACAATACAAAGTACAGTTTCCTGGTGAAGGAGTGAGTGGGGAACAGGCCACAGACATTGGAGTGTACAATGTGCATGGGTGTGGACAAGTGCAGTGCTGGGCCAGAGCCAATGGCGTGGCGGTGTTGCTTGGCCTGAATGCAGGCCTTGTGTGTTGACAGCATAGAGCCAGGCTTGATGGAGATGTAAGTTGCAGTGGACATGGCCAGCTGTTGACGCTTGGCTCCAATGTGCCCCATGCAGAGATGGAGTAGGTCAAGTGTCATGGTGTGTGTTGACCTGGAGGCGAGGGTGTGTGCTGTGGACGCTGAGGACAAGGGGTGTAGATCCATCACCAGTAGGTTCTGTGTTGCTTGAGCTGTCAGAGGTGGGAAGGCTGGCAGAGGGTGGTGGATCTTAGTGCTGTTGTGATTGAGTGTGATTGTGCACAGCATCAGTGCTCCCAACAAGTAGCATCTTGACAGGTGGGAGTGGGTGTTCTATGGCGATGTAGGTGCATTCCTGCTGTAGAAGAGCAGCCTTGCACTTGGTGTCACACTGTTTGACACTGTGCCTGGGGTGGGTGCAGTAGGTGCATTGCAGGGTGGGATCAAACAGGAATTGCTGTTTGGCGTTCATGTCCTTTCTGTTGTTGGGCCTGTGCATGTTCATGGTGGAACCTGAGGGGCCACTGCCATAGTGCTGTGGCTTGTGGTCCTTCTTCTTGGTGCTGCCACCACCCTGGCCATGCATGGGAGGAGAGGCCTTTGGCGTGGCCTTGGTGGTGGGCTGAGCTGACAAGAAGAGCAGGGAGTTGCAGCCTGAGTCTGTGCCTCCAGTGTTGTTGATGATTGATGACTTGTGCTGGAGCAGTGTGGACCTTGTGAAGGTGAGTGTGACCTTGGCCTGAGTGGGAATGATGGTGGTGATGCCCAAGTATGATGATGGTAGCCCGCGTAGGATGATGGTTTTGGTGTTGCCCATCCTGATGTTGGTGAGCTCAGCAAAGTCCCTGAGATTGTGGTTGACATTGGGGCTGTTGAAGTGGGCCAAGATAGCGTCATAGGCTTCCCTGGGTGTAGTTCTGTCCCTTGTGAGAGGGTGGTGTCAACCCATTGGGTGTAGCTGGTGATTCAACATTGTGTGTCAAAGGTGGCTGCCTTGGTAGGGGCGATCTGACTGATGGTGACAGGGAGAGTGGGCTTCTCCTCCTTGCCAGTTGTGATGTGCCATAGATTCTGCCCTAGAAGGCAATCAATGATGTTGTCTTTCCACATGTAGTAGTTGGTGGCCCTGATCAGTCAAACACTGTTGCTCTTGTTGGTTGTTGTGGTCATCTTATAGCATGACAAGGCCCATAACCTGTCAGAAGTAGAGGAGTCTGAAGAGACATGTGACATGTATTACTAGAGTATGACAAGAAAATGACAGATGATAATGACCTATTTAAGGTGTGAGAAGATAGACGTTGAAGAACGTTGAAATGACCAGGAGAGACACTAACGGCAATGAGGTCGTTTGACGCCGTTGAGGGTGTGACTCGGACAGGCATTGCCTGCTGGGTAAGTGAGGCAGGTTTCCACCTCTGCGGTAAGGGTGCTGCTGGTAGGCAATCCTCGGTAGCTTAGTTGGTAGAGCGCACGGCTGTTAACCGTGAGGTCGCAGGTTCGAACCCTGCCCGGGGAGTCCTGTTTTGCACACTTGTTTCGGTCATCCAAAAGTGGCGAGGATTGGCTCGGCTTTCACATCTCCATTTCGCCGATTGGGGGAGCTTAATTTGGGCGCCACCAGTTTGCGTTTCTTTTTCAAACGCCACACACACAACGATGAGCCACGACGGAGACGCACCTGGGCAGCCCGCCGCGCATGCTGCACAGGTCAAAGTTGCCGGTGGCGCCACGTCGTCTGCCGTCTCGGTGCAGAACCCTCTTTGGATTTATCATCATCTCATCTTTTTCTGCATCTTTTTTTTTTTACACTGTCGCCCTTTTCTGTATTTATTTATTTCCATTTTTAAAACAATTTAATTGTAGGTGCAGCTGCTGGCACCGCCGTTGCCCGAGCTCGAGGCGTCGCTCGTGTCGCAGCTCGTCTTCGCCTGGCTCACGCCTCTCGTCAAGCGTACGTGCTCTCACCTCGCATTGGCAGCTTGTAGAGAGACTCTTATCGATCCCGTGACGCACATACCACCGCACACACGCACAGTGGGCGCACAGAGGCCGCTGGAGCTTACTGATCTCTACAATATTGCGCCGAGAGACAACCCCGTCGGGTTGGCCCAACGACTCAAGCGCGAATGGAACGCGCGCAAGCAGCACACTGAGTCCTGGTGGGCACTGGCCAGGTCCGATGCGTGCCGTGTTTGCCGCGTGTGTCGTGTTTCGTGTGTTTCGTGTGTGTCGTGCGCTGTGCGTGCGTGGCACTCACGCGGCGGCTGCGACGACGCGCAGGTCGATCTGGGCGATCGTGTGGCTCGAGTACTCGTGGGTGGGTGTGTTGATGCTGGTGGGCAACTTATGCGAGCTGGCCCTGCCGGTCATATATTCGTGGATCATCCAGTTCGTAGGCGACGAGGTGCGTGTGCTGTCGCATGTGTGCGGTGTGTGCGTGTTGTGGGGAATATTGTATACATTTCACTGAACCCGCACGTTCGTCCATGCGGCTCAAGAGCGCTGGCTGGTCGCAGGGCCTGTTGTACGTGGGCCTCGTGTTCGCCGTCTCTGTGACGCACCTGGTCTTTCAGCAGATGACCTATTTTCGCGCCCAGCGGGTGCTCATGAACGTACGTACCACCGCACACACCGCACACACCGCACGACACACGCACACGCACTACCGCACACGCACAGACACGCGCGTCGAAATTCCGCTCACGTGATGCGTCACATTGTGATGTTCTTGGGTTCACACACGGGCAGGTGTCGTCCATGCTCTCCACGCTGATCTACCGCAAGAGCCTGCGCCTCCAGCGCGTTTCCAAAGGCAACGCAGCCAACGTCATGAACGTGGATCCGTCCAAGGTGGCCAACCTTGCCTGGTTCGCGCACCGAATCTGGGCGCATCCACTGCAGCTGACGCGTGCGTGAAGAGTCCCTCACCTTCGCTATTGCCCTCCTCTCGGCAATGTTGACTCCCCCTAACAACATGCTGCGTGTGCGGTGGTGTGTGTGTGTGTGTGTGTGTGCGGTGTGTGTCGCGTGTGCGTGCGTGCTGAGCAGTAGCGGTGTACTTGCTCTACGGGTGGCTGGGGCCAGCGGCGTTCACGTCGCTGGTCATCACGGTGGGCGTCATGCCCCTCAAATATTTCATCTATCGGTACCTCCTCGCACCACGCCACCCGATCATATCCATGATCGACCACGCACGCACGCACTCACGCACTCACTGATTTACTGTGTCGTGTGTGTGTCGTGTGTGTGTCGTGTGTGTGTCGTGTGTGTTCATCTCATCACATCAGTGGCTTCCTCGCCGCGGATACCAAAATCATGGAGCTCAAGGACGAGCGGGTCAAGAAGATCACCGAGATTCTCCACGTACATTCTTCATCAGCTGATTCCTCACCGCGAGGTGTTTAAAAAAATCTAACGCCACCGCACCACCGCACACGCACTGCTGCATGCGACATTGGACGTACCAATAGGGCGTGTTGATTGTGAAGCTGTTCTGTTGGGAGTACCAGGTAATGAAGCAGATCAACGAAGTGCGGGCGCACGAAGTCACCCAGCTCAAGAAGTTCTCCTACCTCTACGCCTGCATGATGTTCCTCATGTACGCACTCATCGCACACACGACGCACACGATGCACGCGAGAGCTGATGCCTGTGTGTGTGGTGCGTGTATGTGGGGTGGACAGGATGTCGATGTCCACGTTCATCTCGGTGGGCACGTTCAGCGTGTACGTTCTGCTGGGCAACGAGCTGACGGCCCACCTCATCTTCCCCTCGCTCTCCATCTTCGCTTCGCTCTCGTGGATCATCCTCCAGGTATGCAGTCCGCGCATTCCGCCACAACACACGACGCACACGAACTAACTCGCGGGGCTGTGTGTGTGCGAGTGCAGTTTCCGAATATGATCTCGCGCTGGTCGGAGGCCAAGATTTCGTTCGATCGACTCAACAAGTTCCTGCGACGCAAGGAGCTGGACAAGATCGCTACGCATCAAACACCTCAGCTCGCCGCTTCCACTCGGGCTGATGAAGACGGCAACAACGACGATGACGAAGACGACAACAATGACGGGGAATCCGTTGCTATGAAGAACGACGAGAATGAGGCGAGGGCGATGATCAAGATCGTGGACGGCGGGTTCGAGTGGGAAAAAACCCAGGACGACGCCGACGAAGATGAGGAAGAACGAAAGAAGAAAGAAGAAAAAGAAAAGAACGAAGGCGACGTACTAGCCACGACAATGGCCACGGAAAAAAGAGCGAAGAGGACGCCGACCTCTGACGACGATGATAACGACGACGTGGCCGATGGCGATGAAGAAGACGCCACCCTCTTGACGAACATGGAGCGAGGTGGACTCGAGCGGGATGAAGGAGAAGGTGGTGATGGTGGCTTCCAGCTGCACGACATCAACGTGGAGGTGAAGCGGGGCGAGCTGGTGGCGGTGATCGGGCGGGTGGGCAGCGGCAAGACGTCGCTCCTCAACAGCATGCTGGGCGAGATGAAGCGCGCCGCCGGTCAGCTCCACCTCAACGCCTCGGCCGTCAGCTACGTCAGCCAGCGGTATATTGCAGACCATCATCATCAACATTCCATATCTACACCTCCATTCCTTGAGCGGACTGAATGATTGACATGTTTGTCGGCGTCATGTGTGGAATGCGCACAGAGCATGGATTAGGAATGCGACGGTGAAGGAGAACATTGTGTTCGGTCAGCCCTTAGACATGGCGCTGTATCGGGACGTCATCCGCGTGTGCGCCCTCACCGAAGACCTCCGCATTCTCCCCGGTGCGCTGCGTGTGTGTCGTTGCGTGTCGTGTCGTTGGTCGTGTCGTTGGTCGTGTCGTGTCGTTGATCGTGTCGTTGGTCGTGTCGTTGGTCGTGTCGTGTCGTGTCGTGTCGTGTCGTGTGCTGACATCATATTTTATTTTATTTTATTTTTTTCGCTTGGGGTGGGTAACAGCGGGCGATATGACGGAGATCGGAGAGAAGGGAGTCAACCTGAGCGGCGGCCAAAAGCAGCGCATCTCGCTGGCGCGCGCCGTCTACTTCTCCTGCCTCAAGCCCGAGAACAGCGTCATCCTCCTCGACGACGTCCTCTCCGCCGTCGACGCCCACGTCGGCCAGCACATGTGCGCACCACCGCACACGCACACGACACACGCACCACCGCGCACCCACACGACACACCATCTAATCGAACGACACGACCAACGACAGTTTCCACGAGTGTCTGGCGGGCAAGATGGCGGGCATCACGCGGGTGTTTGCCACGCATCAGCTGCAGTACCTGCCCCTGGTCGACCGCATCTACATCATGCACGACGGCACGGTCCAGGCCTCGGGCACCTACGCCGAGCTGGTGGCCCGCGGCGTTGACTTTGTGGGACTCCTCAATGAAGACCAGGAAAAAAGTCAACGGCGACGATGACGTAGACCAGGCAAAGGAAGTCAACGGTCCGGCGGGCCAGCTGACCGACGGCGACGAGATCGAGGGCGAGGCGGAGGCAGCGGAGGAGAGCGAAGCGGCGGAGAAAGAGCGAAAAGCGAAGGGCAAGCTGATCGACGACGAGGAGCGGAGGACGGGCGCGGTCGAGTGGCGCGTCTACGGGCAGTACCTCATGGGCACGGGCGGCATCGCCTTCCTCATGCTCATGCTCGCCATCTCCCTCGTCTTTGAGGTACGTGCACCTATCTTCTGTGCGTGCGTGCGTGCGCTGACGGCTCGTGTGCACAGGGTACGGAGGCGTTTTCGCGGCTGTGGCTGGCCTTCTGGTCGAGCGATGCCAAGGCCGACACGACCCTCCACCTTTCCGTCTACCTCGGGGTACCCGCGCGGCCCGCCCCGATCAGTGTCAAACTACTCCTTTAATTTTGAACGGGTCCTGACCTTTGCATGTTCGCGTGTGTGCGTGTGCGGTCGTGTGTGCGGGTCAATGTGTGCGGAAGGCGGCGATAACGAGCAGCCTGCTGGCGTTCAGTCGTCAGTTCCTGTGGACCAAGGGCACCCTCGACTGCGCCCTTCAGCTGCACGACCGCCTCCTCAGCGCCATCCTGCGCGCGCCGATGACCTTCTTCTTCACCACACCCACCGGTACCCATCATCGCACCCACATATTCTCAATCCGTCACACGACACGACACGACGACACGACACACACACACACACGAACGCACACATGACCCGACCGCACACGACAACGCATGCAGGCCGCATCATCACGCGGTTCTCGAAGGACCAGGGCGTGGTGGACCAGGAGATCCCGGACATGGTGTCGGACTTCTTCCTGTGCCTGTTCGCCTCGCTGGGCACGCTCCTCATGATCTGCGGCGTTCTGCCCTGGTTCCTCCTCCCCGTCTTCCCCGTCATCGCCGTCTACTGGTGGATCCAGCAATTCTACCGCAAGACCTCCCGCGGTGCGCTTCACATTCCACACCCCGAGCATTTCTCACATTCCTTGGTATTCAAAATATGCGCATTTCTTGCATAGTTTGTACAACATTCCTGATGCATTCCACACACGCAGAGCTGGGCAGGTTGGAGTCGATGACGAGTTCGCCGATCTACGCGCAGTACACGGAGACGCTGGAGGGCCTGGACACCATTCGCGCGTTCCACTGTCAGCCGCAGCTCAAACGCGAAAACGCGCGGCTGCTGGTGGACAACCTGCGGGCCTACTTCTGCCTCTTCACGGCCAACCGCTGGCTGGGCGCGCGGGTCGAAGCCGTGGGCACGGGCATCATTCTCATCATCGCCGCCCTGTGCGTTGCCACCCGCGGCGCTCTCAGCGTCGGCTTCGTCGGCCTCATCCTCGCCCTCGCCAACAACGTCACTGGAGGCACGCTGCATTCCAACACACCACACACCACACACACACCACACACACACACCACACACACACCACACACACGCGCACACACCACACACACACGAGACTTATGTGCGTGTGTGTGCGTGTGCGGTGGCAGATCTGACGTGGTTCGTGCGTGCGGGGACGATGCTGGAGTCGAACATGAATCGGGTGGAGCGGCTGCTGCACTACACGGCCACCCCGCCCGAGGCCCCACTCGCCCTCGCCCGCGGGCAGCGCTGGGACCCCAAGCTCCGCCAAATCGTCAGCACCACCGGTGCGTGTGCGGCTATGCGTGTGCGGTTGTGCGTGTGCGGTTGTGCGGCCGTGTGCTGATGGCGCGTTGCAGGTGTTGACGTGGAGGAGGGACTCGAGGCCGGCGACGATGAGGAGGAGCAGTGGCCGACGGAGGGGCGGATCGAGTTCCGCGACGTATGGATGCGCTACCGCGACGAGCTCGGCCACGTCCTCAAGGGCATCGACCTCGTCATCCAACCCCACCACAAAGGCACGACACACGACGCACGCACCGCACATGACACGACACAACACGACACATGCTGACGTGTGCGCACACCACGACACGACACGACACGACACACGCGTGCAGTGGGTGTGGTGGGGCGCACGGGCGCGGGCAAGTCGTCGCTGATCAACGCCCTGTTTCGGCTGATCGAGCTCGACCGGGGCCAGATCCGGGTCGACGGCCGCGACATCGCCGCGCTCGGGCTGCACCGCGTGCGGTCGGCGCTGGCCATCATCCCGCAGGACCCGGTCCTCTTCTCGGGCTCGGTGCGCTCCAACGTCGACCCGTTCGGCCGGCACGCGGACCAGGCCGTGTGGCGCGCGCTCGACAAGGTGGGCCTGCGCGCCTTTGTCGCGGCCCAGCGCCTGGGGCTCGACGCCAAGCTGACGGCCGGCGGCCACAACCTGTCGGTCGGCCAGCGGCAGCTCGTGTGCATGGCACGCGCGCTGCTGTGCGACGAGGCGCGGGTGCTGGTGCTGGACGAGGCGACGGCGAGCGTGGACAACCGGACCGACCGGGCCATACAGGACACCCTGCGGCGCGAGTTCGCGGGGCGCACGGTGGTGGTTATCGCCCACCGCCTCCACACCGTCATCGAGATGGACCGCATCATCGTACACACACACGCCCTCCCCCCCGTGCGTGTCATGTCGTGTTGTGCGGTGTGTGCGGCTGATTGACGCGCGTGTGCGGCTGGTTACCCCCCCCCCACCAACAGGTGATGGACGAGGGGCGGGTGGTGCAGTACGGGAAGCCGTGGGAGCTGCTGGAGGCGAACGAGGGACCATTCGCGCGGCTGGTCGAGCAGACCGGCGCCGTGACCGCCCAGTACCTGCGCGCCATGGCCCGCCAGCACCACTCGGGCGATGGCTCTTCTGCTTCTTCTTCTTTCTCTTCGACCGCCACCACCATCACTTCACCACCACCTCCGCCCGTGGACTTGCTCGGCTGAAAAATGTGATGTTTGTTTGTTGCGTTGAAAAAGTAAATAATAATAATAACAAAAGAACAACGTGTACAATGGGTGTGTTGCGTGCTGCGCAGTTGGATGCCGTGGTGCGGCCGAGTGCAGTGAGGTGCGTGTTGTGTTTACAGGTTGGGGTGGTCTTTGATGCGGCGGATGAGCTCCGATGTCGACATGCCCTCCGTGCGCGGCAGCACCTTCGTAATACCTGCACTCGTGCACGCCCCACCGCAAACCACCCGCCATCAGCGCGCGGTGTGTGTGTGTGTGTTGCGTGCGCGTGTCATTGGTGGGGGGATGGGCGGTACCGAGCTCGCGCGCGCCGGCGTAGAACTGGTCGTCGGGCGTGTCGTACTCGGGGCTCAGCGCCACCACGTGGATGTTGTGCTTCAACAGGAATTGCTGCACACCGCACACGCCGTCCACCCCTTCTTAGCCCACATGCGCCCGATGGGGGGCGGGAGGGGGCGGGGGCGTACGACGGGGAGGTCGAAGCAGGGGGCGTTGGGGATGACCTCGTGGACGAACTTGCAGGCGGCGACGGCCTCGCACCGCTCCTTGTGGGTCATGATGGGCCGGCGCTTGTACACCTCGCAGTCCTCGTCGTTGCACACGCCCACGTACAGACGCGTCCCGAAGCGCAGCGCGTTCTCGAACAAACGCATGTGACCTGGTGGTCCCCAACACCACCACCACCACCACGTCAGCGTGTGTGCGGCGTGCGTGTGCGGTTGAGTGTGTGCGGTTGAGCGTGTGCGGTTGAGCGTGTGCGGTTGAGCGTGTGCGGTCGGTACCGACGTGGCAGAGATCGAACACGCCGCTGGCGTAGACGTTGCGGCACACGCTGAACATGGGCAGGTTCATCTCGTGGCACAGGTCGGCGAACACGGCCACGTAGTAGAAGAGGCACACGGAGAAGGTGGCCAGGTTGTGGAACAGCGACAGCATCGCGAACACCACCACCCACGGATGCAGCTCCCGCTTCGCCATCTGCATCACACACCGCACACACCGCACGCACACAGCACACACCGCACGCACCGCACACGCGGAGTCAGGCACTCGCACGACCGCACACGCACACCTACACGCGGGGGGGGGCGAGGCGTACGGTGGCGAGGATGAGGTCGGAGGTGACGACGGACATGAAGATGCCGTCGCAGATGATGTCCCAGTGCGTCGAACGAGCCCTGTCAACATAAATTACATAAATATATAATGTATACCAACATACAAGTATATCCAGCATTATATGTAAGGATATCGAGCACATATAAATAGTATATGCGTGTGTGTTGTGTGCGGTGTGTGCGGTGTGCGGTGTGGGTGTGCGGTGTGGGTGTGTGGGTACCGGCCGACGACGAATTGGATGGTGAGGGCGGGGATGACGCGGTAGAGGAGGCAGAAGACGAGGCCGTTGCGGGTCGAGTAGTGCTCCTTGGGCAGCAGCAGCGCCTGCACGATGAACGAAAAGTACACCAAATAGTACAACGCTGCCCACGCCACACCACGCCACACCGCACACACCGCACACGCGGTTAGTCGACCGCACACGCGCGATCGCACACGCCGAAAACGAGGAGAAGTGAGTACTGGAGACGGCCTGCTGGAGGGTGAAGTCGATGGGCAGCGTGTGGAGGAGCGCGTAGAACCAATCCAACCCGACCACCGCCCTCACCAGCGCGATCTGTCCATGACCGACGTCAGTCACGGAACCACACACGACACACGACACGACACACACGACACGACACGACACGACACACCGACACACACGACACGGCACGACACACGCGACACGGTGCGTACGATGTTGAAGGCGAAGAGGGCCTCGCCGGGTCCGGTGAGGATGGAGAAGCGGAGGACGCCGTTGCGGAAGGCCGAGAAGTGTTTGTGCATGAACAGCACCTGCGCCGTCTGCACGATGTACCACTGCAGGTCCGTGTCCTGCACCCACCACCACCACCACCACCACCCACATTGTTGGAATTCCGTGTGCGTGTGCGGGCGTGTGTGCGTGGTGTGCGTGTGCGCGTGTGCGTGCGTGCGCGTGTGCGTGTGTGCGTGGCGGTATGGAAGGGTACCTTGATGCCGACGATGGCGCAAAGGACGAGGGAGAGGAAGATGGTGCCCACGTTGGCACAGCAGAACGCGAACAGCTCGCCGATGGGCGAATGGTTTCTGAAACAGAAACAGGACACGCAACGAACGGTAAGCGCCGTGTGTGTGATCGTGCCGTGCGTGCCGTGCGTTCGTGTCGTGTGCCATGTGCGTTGCGTACCGGATGCGGCGGGCGTGTCTGCCGTCGATGGAGTCGAGCGTTTGGAAGGCGAAGGCCAAGATCACCGCAGCCGCCGTAATCAAACGCGGGAATTGGTCCTGTTGTTGATTGATTTATTTGATTGATTAAATCAATCATTTGGCGTGAAAGGCAATCAACCAAAGAAGTCCATCACAAGATGAAAACTTTAATGAAAGAAATTAAATGGCAAAATTCGTAATCTAATTGTCATTCATAAATGGCGGGGGAATGGGGGAATGGGGAGGGCCGGTACCATGTACATGTAGCAGAGGTAGTAGGCGTGCACGAGGCACATGAGGCCGGAGAGGGAGAGCACGTTGGGCGCTACGTGGTCGGGCACGAATTGCGCTACGTAATCCCAGAAGGGCGCCATGACCTTGGACGTGATGGAGCGGTCCTCGATCCGCGCCGTGAATCGCGCCACGTTGGCCTTCTCGGGTGGCGTCAGAAACCAGTCCCACAAATTGAGCGGCATCTCTCTTCTCTTCTCTTCTCTCTTCTTCTACTCGGCTCAAGATTGATTCTTGATAAGAAATGGAAAAACAGAGTTTGTGTTGACCGAGGCAAACGTCAACACGTGTCGCCCCGAACACCAACAACCAGCCAAGCCAGCCGCCTGAACAAACAAACAAGCTTCAACTAGCTTGTTTTGGTTGTCTTTTCATCTCTTCAATCGATCATCTATGCACGTACCGATCCACGATCTGGCTTCCTCTCAATCAAAGAGGCATTGACAAGACCACCAGCATCAAGGGGTAGGGACCCCAGCTTGATCGTTGACTCTTCCAGGTACGTTCTCTGCGATGTTTGTGTGCCTTGCGTGCGTTTCATAACTTTTAACAAATGATTGCGTGCGGGCCGTGTGCGCACACGACACACAACCACGCGACACAGGGCTGCCAGGAACGACATGTCGCAACGCTACGACTCAGTTGTCCGAATCTGAGTCGTTGAAGGCGCTGCTGGAGCTGGCGAGGAGGGGCTCCCCCAGGCGACTGTAGCCACCGCTCTTGGTGCCCGCGGCCTTGACCGAGCCCGTGGCCGCCCACTCGGCTTGAATCGGCACCGGCGACGCCTCCGGGTTGTCTATTCATATTCGATAGGGAGGGACAACACACGCGCGGGTGAGCACACGCACACACCGCACGCACCGCACGCACACGCCGCACACGCCGCACACACGAAGTGGGAGAGTAGGGTGTACCGCTGAGAGAGCCGTAGTTCTTGGAGGAGGACTTGATGTGGCGCTTCTTGAGAAGGCGGTCCTCTTCCTGCAAAATTTGCCACGGCTCCGGGAAGAAGTTGCGCTGCACACTGTGGAGCAGCCAAGCCAAGCCAAGCCAAGCCAAGCATTGCGATGAGCATGAGCAAGCAGAACTCGCGTGTGTGTCGTGCGGTGTGTGCGGTGTGTGTCGTGCGGTGTGTGCGGTGATACGTACTAGGCGAAGAGGAAGTCGGGGAGGAGGCAGGCCACGGTTCCCAGCAAGACCCATAGATAAATGATTGGCATGGTACACATGTGGACTGTGTGCGCACACAACAACAAAGGGTGAGCCCAAGCGGCGTTGAGAAGAAGAAGATGAAGAAGAAGAAGAAGTGCTGAGAGTCGAGGCGTACAGAAAACGAAAAATTGGTTGGGGAAGAAATAGATGACGGAGCCCTCGCCCAGCACGAGGATAATGTACAGCAGGAGACTGCCCCACACGGTGAAGTGGACCAACCAATTCCAGTTGCTGTTGCACGACGACACACGACGACACACGACACACACGACAACACACGACAACACACGACAACACACGACACACACGACACACACGACACACACGACACACACGACACACACGACACACACGACAATCAGAACTCGTCCGAAGCGCTAAAGAAGCACGCGTGTGGTGGAGGAACGGTACTTAACGTGGAGGAAGAGCTTGAGGAAGATGACGATGATGCCGACGAAGAGGATGGCGTGGCCCATCGAGTAGAAGCCCGTGTCCAGGCCCGACGTGTCCTGGAGCCCGTCGGCCCACAGGAAGTAGGCCCCGAAGAAGATCACTGAATGCCGCCCCACGAGTCAGCAGCGACACAATTATAAATAACATGAATATTTAATAATAATAATAATTGAAAAGAAAATAGTAATTGAAATAAAGACTTGGTGGGCGGAGGCGGTACCGAGGGAGTGGTAAATGGAAGCGGCGAACCAGCCGCAGAGTGACCACATGGTGAAGACCCCATTGCTCTGCACGCGCTTGTACACGTGCGGGTTCTGTCGTCGACGCGACACACGCACACGACACGACCAACGACACGACACGCAAGACGCACAGACGATACGGGTGAGAAGTTGTACGAGGGGAGTGAACAAGAAGACGACGGGGCGACTGTACGGCTTCGATGACACGATGGGAGATGTCGGTCTCGAACACGGCCACGGCGATGGGCGGCCACGCGGTGAAGAGGATGTTGAAGAAGGTCATGACCCAATCGTCGTACAGCGTCTGCACACAATCACGCACACACGCACGCACGCAAGACGACACACGACACGACCAGACGATGATGATGATGATCAGACGCGCGTGCAACACGCGGGCTGCACAGCTGGAGCGTAAAGCGTACCTGGCTGGAGAAGCCGGAGAAAATGCCGAACCACACTTGGGCCAAGAACACGGCCGCGTTCTTGTAGAACGAGTAGTGAATGATCAACGCATTCCTGTATTCACACATATTACATTCCTGTAAGTCTGCATGTTGTGTCGTGTGCCGTGTGTCGTGGCGTGTGCGTGTGTGCGTGCGTGTGCGTGCGCGTGCGCGTGCGTATACCTGATCATGGAGTAGCGCCCGTGCACGCACAGGAGGCGCTTAAGGTGGCGGAACTGGTGCAGGGCAAAGTCGGAGGCGCGGGCGGCTTGGTTGCCCTCCTTGCCGTAGATGCCCACGCCCACGTTGGCCTCCTGGATCATGCCCACGTCGTTGGCCCCGTCGCCGATCGACAGACACACCTCCTTCGACGTCTCCTTGATCAGCCGCACCACCTTGGCCTTCTGCAGCGGCGTCACACGATTGCAAATCACTGCGCAACACGGCACGGCACGACCAACGACACGACACACGCACCACCACGACGATGGGGTCAGAAAGTGCGATGTGGGCGCATAAGCGGTCGATAGTGAAAGAGTACCTGAGTGGCAGCTGCGGGCCAGGTTGTAGAAGAGGGTGCGGTGGTCCTTGAGGGCGAACTTGATGCTGCCGCCGTCGATGACCAACGCGCGCTTCCGCTTCTGCGAGTGAATGGAAAGACTGTCAACGTTCTCCTTTCGATAGAGAAAGAGGACGCAACACGACACGACACATACGACGTGACACACGCACACACGACATAAGCAAAAATTGAGATAAGCCCACGTACATAGAACGCACATAGAACACGCGCGACAAAACACACACATAACACGACACGACACGACACACATGACACACGATGTGCAGTGCAAGAGGCCATGCGTACGAGCTGTGTTTGCGAAGCAGTGCGGCTTTCGTCGTAGTCAGCGCTGTCTTGCGGTTGGTGCTGGGTCAGCAGCTCCAGACATTCCTCAGTCGACTCGGCGTTGATGATGATCAACTGTCCATTCCGCACACGCCACGACACACGACACACGCCACAACACACAATGCCGTCAGCTGAACGCCCTCAGCGCGCTACAAATGCGTGCAGTGCGTATTAATACCTCCATGTCGCCATTCAGCAGGCGGGACGAGTAGCCGATGTTGATGGCCGTCGCCTGCTTGTCGCCGGTGATCACCCACACGCGCATGCCAGCCTGCTCGCGCACGAATCGTGCTCAGCCCATGGCTGTACGCAGACAGTCGCGACAGAAGTGTAGTTGTTTGGCGTTACGCACCTCGAGCAGGTAGGCGATGGTCTCGGGCACGCCGTCCTGCAACTTGTCCTCGATGGCCGTGGCGCCGATGATGTTCAGATTTCGCTCGAACTCATCGCACACACGATCGATCTGGTCATTATAAGTTTAGTGTTCATGTGCGTGTGTTGTGTGTGTGTGTGTGTGTGTGTCGTGTAGCGCAGAAACACACGCACAGCTTCCTCGCGGCCGTCCATGAGGGTGGCGGCCTCGTTGTACTGTTCGAGGAATGCCCCGCATTCCTGCTCGGTCAGCCTCTTTTCTGCGTAGACCAGCGTACGCAATCCCTGCGAGCATTCACCACAACATCAACCTCACATTCGTGTGCGCCGTGTATCGTGTGTGTGTCGTGTGTGTCGTGTTTGTGTCGTGCGTGATCGTACCTCTTTGGAGAAGACGTCGAGGTCCTGCAGGGTCTTCTCCTTGAGCTCGTCGTCGCCGTCGCCCAGGCGGGAGTACATCATCGTGTCGGCGCCCTTGGTGAGGAGCTTCAGCTCGCCCTCGGGCGTGCGGACCACGACCGACATGCGGCGGCGGTCGGACGTAAACTCCATGCTGCACAGGACCTCGTAGACTAGCTTGTCGCCGTTGACCTGGACGGTGATGGACTGCGTGGAGCGGGAGATGAACACGATCCCATTGTCTTGGCCGCACGGCACAGGGCCTCCTCGTCGGGCGACGACGCCTTGTAGATCAGTTCTGTCACACACAACACACACACACACACACACACAACTGAGTCAGCACACGCATCACGGCGCACGACACGACACGCACGACACACACTCACCCTTTGTCTTGCGGTGAATGTCGGTCACGGCGGAATGGCACACGGCGACGGCGATCAGGAAATCGTAGATCTCTTTGGCCTCTTGCCGCCCGGCCACATCCTACAACGCCACGCACGCAACAGTCAGGCCAGGCTTGGCTGCCTTGTATTCGCCGCTCTCCACACGACAGTCACATTCCGCGCATTCCACATATGTTATGGGCTGAAATGGTACCATGACGCCTCGGAGCGCGCCCTCGCCGGCGTTTTCGTAGGCGCGGCCGTTGATGGAGCACTTCCTGAAGTCCATCTGATTCTCGGTGAGGGTGCCCGTCTTGTCGCTGAACACGTACTGGACCAGCGCCAGCTCGTCGTTGAGGTTGGACGTCTTGACCGTCATGTGCCCTCGCTCGGTGCTCATCTCGTAGTCCCACTCCATGAACCTCGCTTGAATAACCTGAAAATAACCAATTCGATTATTAATTCGGCGCTTTTAAAAAATCACCCTTTCGTATTTAAATTATACTCAATTATCAATAATCACATATACAAAAAAATTAAAAATAGGGTACCTTGACGAGCTCGAGAGACACGACGAGGGACAGGGGAATGAGGTAGGACAGCAGCGCAAAGTAGGCGAAGAAGAGCTTCACGCCGGCAACCCACGGGCCATCGGGATCAGCCTGTGCACCACACACACACACACACACACACCCGAGTAGTGAGTTGGTCATAGCTTGCTCGTTAACTGCTGGCCGGCGATGGCGACACAGTGTGGTGAGGTCGCACGTACGGTGAGATAGGGACTGTCCTCGGCGTAGTAATAGTCGAAAAGGCCGCCGCCGATGCCCATGCCCAGGTTGATGAGCATGTTGACCACGAACAGGATCAGCACGTACCTGTACACGTGAAACACAAGACACACACACACGCGTCAGTGTGCACACACCACACACGACACTCACGAACCAAGAGGTGCGCAGGTGTGTACTTGTTGAGGCGCTTGTCGAGGCGAGAGGTCTTGAACGGAGGCTTCTTCTGGTTGAGGCTCAGCTTGGTCTCGGGTCCGGCGTAGGCGATGATGCCCACCGCCCAGTCCGTGTTACGCAAAAACGAGCTCTGCCACGAAAAATGAAGTTGAGTTATTGGATAAATAACTCACTAAATAATTAGTATATATAATAAATAAATGAAAAACGAGGTGTACCTGCAGAAGCAGCTGCTGGTTGTCGAGCGGGATGGCCTGCGACTCGGAGTCGAGGTGCAGGGTGCCCTTGAACGAATACATCACGTGATGCGGCACCTACGCACGACCACCACACTTGACCATCAGCCAGAGCTCACGACCAACAGAAGAGGCTCGAGCGAAGGAGAGAGAGAGAGAGAGAGCAAGAACCTCGCACTGCAGAGTGCCCTTGAGTTCCGACAACGACTTGAGAGTGAGGTGGCCGGTCTGAACAGGCGCCTTTCGGGGCTTGAGGTTGGTCTCACTAAATAATAATAAATACCGAAATAAAAAGTTAGCTCCGATTCGCCATAATAAAATAAAAATAGCCCAAGCGGCAATGAAGTGCTGGGGCAAGTCGGGAGTACCCGTCGAGCTGCGAGGTCTCGATGTAGCAGATGCCGTCCTCGTTGGAGGTGGCCAGCAGGACGAGGTCGGCCGGGATCTGTTCATCGCAGCGCACGTACACCAGGTTGCCCACATGCAGCCAGCGACTGACAACGACCCACCACCAAGAACACAACACCACGTGAACAGGTGTCAGCTGAGTTCAGCGGAAAGAGATAGAAGTTCAAAAGGGAGGAAAGTTTACCTCCTGGTGACGACCCGTTCGCCTTCAAAGTCGACGAGCAGGTAGCGGCGCCGGTTGACGCGGCTGTCGGCCTTGTGCCTCAGCTGTGTCATTTTATTTTTAAAAAAAATTATTGTTTCTGGAGGTTAGCAATAGAGCAGGGTTGCACGATGGTTAAAATTATCGGGGCAGAAAAGGTAAGAATAAGTAAGAATAAAGATAAATAACACCCTGGCATAATTATCGGACAGTAATTATGAATATAGGAAAATAAAGAAATAAAAAACAGTAATATAAAGGTTGGTGTTGGTGGTGCACGTACCACGTCCTCGTAGCCCTCGCGCACGGCGGCCACGACCAAGATGAAGAGGAGGCCCATGAGCGAGGTCCATGGCGTAATGGGCGAGATTTGGGGGATGATCGAGATGATGAAGATGAGGGTGAAGTAGATGGTCGTCGCCTTTGAGAATTGCTCCCACAAGACCAGCGGTACGAACGAGAGAAGCGTGTACTTGGAGGTGGTGAATCGATTCTCGGGAAAATGGTTCGATTTCAGCTTGTTGCGTTCGTGTTCGTTGAGGTAGACGGGCGGATAGGCCGTGCGGCTGCCCTCCTTGTGCTTGCGCTTGGCCCTGGCCTGCTTGACCTTGGAATACACCGGGATGGTGGCGATCCTCTGCTTCAACTTCTTCTTCATCTTCGAATCGTGCGCTCGTTCATTCAATCCTGTCTCCACGCGCTACTCGAAATCGCGATTTTGTATCGATCTCCTGGCAAGCCTCCGAATTGAGCTCTCTCGACCCAACGCGCGCCCAACACGAAGGACCGTGGAGAAGAGTAGACCGAAATGTGAGAATGGAACCGGTGGCGAAACAATCCAAGAGAAGAAGTCGGCAAAGAAAAATGCCGCAATGTTATTGTCATCTTGTCGACAACAAATGCAATTGGGCAATTATTACAAGAATTGGCAAATTGTGAAGTGTTGTGCCCGACACCTGGAAAGGAAGACCAACGTTGTTGGGGCAAATGGTAAATATGATCATTTGGGCGTGTGCTGGGGTGGTGTTGTGTACAAAGCGGTGAGATGAAAAATGTGTGTGTGTGTGCTTGTTCACCGTTCAAAGGCGCGGGGATGAGCGGAGCGTAGGTCGTCCATGGCCTTGCGCTGCGCGCAGTTGAGGGCCTGTGGGTTGTGGCGCGGCGACAGGGGGCTAAGATTGCCTCCGCCGCCGGTGCCGTCGCAGCTGTCGGAAGTGGTATCCGATGGGTCGTCATCTTCATCATCTCCTGAGCCTTCGTCCCGCTCGATCGCTCCATCTTTCTTCATCAACACCAGCACGTCGCCCATCGACTTATTTCGCTGCTTTTCCTCCAGCAGCAGTTCGTTCCACTTGGCCAACCCGCGAGGCTTCACTGGGTCCGAGACCGTCTTGGCCGCTGCGCCGGTCGCCCCCTTCATCTTCTTTGTCTTTGCCCCCTTCATCTTCTTCTCCGTTTTCGTCTTCGTCGTCGTCTTCTTGTTCTTCAACGACCCCGAGATGACGTCGGCCGTCGCGCCCACGTCGCGCTCGCTCCTGCTCCTGCCCAGCCGAGGCGTTCGCAGCGTCTTCTTGAGGCCCTCCACGAAGGCCGAGCGCTGCTTGGTGGTAGTGGGCGACGTCGTGGTGTGGCTTTCGGGCGTGGTGCCAGTCGTCGTCGCTGCCTTGGCTGTTGGCAGTCGCAGCCGGGGCACTCCATTTTGTGTCATCTTCTGTTGTGGTGTTTGCGGGACCGACCGAATGTTGGTCTCAGTTCGGGTGGCTCGGACGGTAACTAACGACGCAACCACAGCAACACCCGACCGCGGCCGGTTGGCTGCTACACTGCGTGTATGAATTTGGTGTTGTACATTGATTAAGGTGCTTGCCTCCCATTCGGCCATAATTTAGGTGTGCTTACCAGACAGCACTGTCCTAGACGACTTAAGTCAAGAACTGCCAATTGCAACAAGCCTCGATCAACACCACTGGTGCAACAACTACACAATCAATGTTGATTGCGACGCGACACTCCAGGGCTGCAGTGAGCTGAGATCCTGTGCTGCGCGGCGATCGCGGCTCAATCATGTGAGGGTGGAGGCTGCGCAGAGCCTCTACCTGGGCCTGGTGCCGCTGCCCCCTGGCCTCGTCGACCGCCTCCGACGGGCGTTGCCACCGAGGCGACAGTAGCGCGGCCAGGGCGTCGCTCTGCGTTCTTCTGGCGTCGGCCGGCCGGCGCGGCTGTGATGAGGCGAAGAAGATCGAGTCCTCGCTTCGGCTTTTGCTGTGGTCCAGACCGAGGGCCGCCCTCTCCCTCTCCAACCGGTCCGTCCATTCCACCAGGCCCTTGTTGGATCGCTTCTTTGACTTGGACGTCTTCTGGTTGTTGTTGTTCCTCTTCTTCGTCTTCTTCGTCTTCTTCGTCTTCTTCGTCTTCATCAACCTTGGCTGATCATCGGTGTCGTCGGTTCCTGGGCGCAGAACTCGAGGCAGCCGCAGACCGAACGGCCGCTTGGCCTTCTTCTGTGTCTCCTCCACCTCGTTCTCTCCACGGCGAAGGCGAGGCGTCAATGACGACATGTCTGCAAGGGTGCTGGGTGGTCAAGTCCAGTAGCGGTGGTGATGCACAGAAGAAGAGGTGAGAAAAGGGGTAGTGAATGCATCTCTTCTTGTTCTTGTGTGGGGTGACAATGCACCCATCACTGAAGATGTTGACCAAAGGCCTCTTCCCAGAGTGGCTGGTGCATCTCTGGTCGCGGAAACCAGCACCCCTTCTTCTCAATTCACACTTGCTACTGATATGAAAATAATAAATAAATACTAAAATAAAATAAAATAGTTATTATATTTGGGCGATAATTACACGGCCACGGCTTCGGACCGCCCAGGCGCTCACCTCTCCGGGCTCTCGAAGGCGGTGAGGGCGTAGGGCAGGGCTGCCAGCTGGGCTCGCGCGCACCGCGCGTTGGGCGGTCGTCCGCCGCCGAAGCCATGGCCGTCGCCGGACCGCGGCGACAGCGCCAAGGCCTCCACCACCGCGCCCCGCCGCCCCCTCTTCGTTGTGTTGACGTCGCCGTCCTCGTCGTCGTCGCTTTGGTACGGCTCTCCAACATTCCTCGCATTCCATCGCGTGTTGTTGTGGTGGTGCTCGTCGTCCGACGAGTTGCACCTGGTCGTCTTGCCCACGACCCACCTCGGCGATGACGATGTTGATGCTGATGGTGTCGGTGGTGATGTTGATGGGATGTCGACCCGGTCCTTGTTCTTGTAGCGCAGCCGCTTCTGCTGGCGCTCCTCGGCGCTCAGCTTCTGCGTCCACTTGGCCAGGCCCTGCGGCGCGACGGCCGCGTTGTGTCGTTCGAGCTCCTCGCGCTGCAGCTGGAGAAGCGGCCGCGGCGTGATGCGGTCGGGCGAGGACGCCAACAGTGGCGATGATGACGATGATGAACCGTCGATGGTCGAAGTGGAGCGGACGTCCTTGTTGCTCTTGGTGCGTCGGAGCAGCGGTAGCTTCTTGGCAAAGCCGCCCCGAGAGCTCTTCTTGCTGTTGGGCGAGCGCTTGTTGCTCGTCGCCGCGGCTGCTGCAGCGGAGGAGGGCTCTTCTTCTTCTTCTGGCGGAGCGAGGTGTAGCAGGGGGTTGGCGTACGTTCGGAGCTCCGAGTCGGTACTAGTACTACCCACGGTCGCCATCTTCTCCGAGAGTCTCCCCTCTTCTTTTCTTCCTCCTCTCGCCCTGTTGCCTTCTCCCCCCCCTCAAACGCTCTTCGTTCTTTGTTCGTCTACTTTTTTTTGTCGCGCTTCGTTCTTTCGTTTCTTTTGTTTGTTCTTTTCGCGCTGATTCCTCTCTTTGCTTTGGCCTTTGGTCTCTTCTCTCTTTGGCTTGGGTGGGGTTGTTGTGTGCGTCTGACGCTCAGCTCGAAGCTTCTGGTTTTGCTTTGTCTGTTTGTTGTTTGCCTTTGCGCTCTCCGGTATTAGGCTGATTCAGGGGGCGCAGGATTGGTGTCTCACTTTTGTTCCGAAGCGCAGCGGCTCCAGCGACGCTTCATCGGGACAACAAGTTTTGGCGCGAGGTTCCCAAGTTCCTCCGTTTATCCTTCCCTGTGAATATTTCGATAAAAATGTCGCCATTAAAATAATATTTCCATTTTCTTTGTGTGTTTTTCAAATATGGAGCTATCCGGGGCAGATGATGTGGAAGAGCTGCTGGCACTACTGGGCCTGCCCAGCGAACTGGTGCTCGCGGTCTACCAGTACGGCTCCAGGTAGCTTTGCCCCCCCCCGCAACATATTTTATTTAAACAATGTTCAAATATTTTAAACATTCTTTTATTGCTTACTTGTGGGGGGGGGTGAAGGGTGACTGGCACGGCGTGGGCGGGGTCTGACTGGGACTTCACCATCGTCGTCGATGACTCGTTCGAGCCGAATGCCCCCGACATGTGCCAGGCAGGTGCCACCACCGCACACGCACACACGACACGCACACCGCACACGCAAGCTGACACTGTGTGTGCAGGGACGTGCGGTGGTGGTGGGCAATGTCGATGCCAACGTGCATCACAAGACTCACTTTATCGAGCTCATACGGTGCGGACGAGTCCATCCTGTATGTGCGCTTTGCGAGAAGCTTGACCCTTGCATGCCTCCGCCCGTCGTACACTCAGTGCGCACGACATGCGCGCGCTCACGTGCCTCTGGCTGCCGCCCCAGCACGTGTGGCGGCAGACCGTTGACTTTGCGAGCTACTTCCATCTCGACCTGAGTACGCCCTGCGCGGTGTGTGCGGTGTGTGCGGTGTGTGCGCGGTGTGCCATCGTGTTAAGTTTTACGAGTGGGCTTTGTGCATTTGTGGCAGGCGTATTGAGGAACCCGGTGAGCACGATTTCGAGCAAGGCATTCGGCTATGCCACCATCTGCTTCCGCGAGGGGCACACCCACAAGGCCAAAAAGAATCTCATCCACTCCATCAGGTACGCCGCCACCACACCACCGCACACACGCATCACCGCACGCACGCATCACCGCACACGCACACGCACCACCGCACAACATGACGCATCACACAATCGCACGCAAGGTATCTGCTGTATGGGATCCAGATTGTCGAGCGAGGGCGGATCGACGACTTCTCGGATGGGAACGAGTACTACTACGCACTCGTGCGGCCGGTCTCGGAGGCCGCACACAACGACGCGAACTCGTGCGACGACGCGACCCGGCACTCGCGGACAGGTCCAGCCCCACCGGCGGATGGTGGCGACGTCGAGGGCGAGGACGAAGAGGCCCTGAGAGACGAGTACAGGCGGATCGCCAAGGACACCCACGCCCGGTTCGACCGGCTGCTCCCGCCCAAGGCCAAGCGACCACGCAAGCCTCGCCGCCGAAAAGAAAAGGACGGAGGAGCCGACGCGCGTGGCGGAGAGGACCACGACGGTGACGCCTGAGATGCGTTCGATTATTTTTTGTTGGATTTATTTTATTTTATTTTATTTTATTGTTTAGTTTGGAAGATGGAGAGTGGTCTGTGCACGCTGCCGGACGAAACGCTGTTGGCAGTGCTCCAGTGGCTGGGTCCGTGGGACCTCAACCGCTGCGGCCTCACCTGCCGGCGGCTTCAGCTCGTCGCCAGCGACCCTTCCCTGTGGAGGTTCATCCCCAATCATGAATCATTCATTAAAGATTAAAGATAAATCACAAGATTAAATAAAATCAAGATGAATAAAGGAACAATATATTGACCGAATAATAAGAAGAATTAAATCAAGTGGATTTTCCAGGCCACTGTGCGAGGCGCGGCTGCCGGTGGCACAGACGCAAGGCAAGGATGCCGCGGAGGCGTGGTACACGACGAAGGACCTGGACTGGTGGGACAAGGCCCGGACGCAGACATGGCAGCAGGCCTACGCCGAAATGGTCCGCTCGTTCTTCGGTGCGCCGCCGCCTTCGATGCCCCGCGGGCCTGGTGTCTCGTCCAAGCCATCCTTACGCCGCGCGACGCTGTGCCTTTGGTAGGTCCGCTGGAGGAGCGAGTGCAGACGCTGAAGCACACCGAGCGCTACATGATGGCCGTCAACGGCAAGGTGACATTCGTGTTCTGTGTCGTGTGAGGTGTGTCGTGTGTGTCGTGTGTGTCGTGTGAGGTGTGTCGTGTGTCGTGTGTCGTGTGTGTGACTGAAAGCACACACAGCTGTTGTGCGTCGTCAGTGGCTGATGTACGGTGGACAGGCGAAGCGGGCTGCCGTGATCGGCCAGGGCCGCCTTTTCCTGTTCCCTCGCTTGCTCGACCCTGCGTACATCTCCTCTGCCTCGTGTGTCGTGTGTGTCGTGCCGTGTCGTATGTCGTGCCGTGTGTGTGCTGAGTTGACCGCGAACGCCATCGCTGCGGCTGGGTGGGCAGTCTCCCGATGGAGTTGGTGAGTTGTCGACGCAGGCACGCGTACTTTCAATGCAACCAGGTGGACCACAACGACGACTACTTCTACTGCGTCATGCGCTTCCGGAGCCGACCCGAGAAGGCACCGCCAGCAGACATCCCCCGTACTTGTCTACACATTCGCAGTTGGCACGATGGCAGCGTCGTCCAGGTATGCCTTCAATGCCGAATGTTGCGTGTGCGTGTGCGTGTGCGTGTGCGTGTGCGTGTGCGTGTGCGCATTTGCCGTTACGCTGTGTATGAGGCCTAAACGGATAAATGGATGCAGGAGATTCCTGGTGTAGACCTGGTCAGCGTCACCTCCTCTTGCGTGGCCGTGTGGCGACAAAGGTAAGCACCTCCACCTTTCACTTGCGACCCACGTGTAATTATTCTCATTTTATAATACAAAATGCATTATTATGTTATTGTTGTAATTATTAAAAATTGAAATCGATTGTGCAGCTCATCGATGCTGGAGGTGTTGGACGCAAGCGGAGGCACCACGCTCTGGTCGGCCCGGCAAGCCCACGCGCGCTGCGTCACCCTCGTCGCCGACAAAACGGAGACGCACCCCGACGGACTCCTCCTCTACGAAGGCGATCGGCTGCAGCTCTTCGAGCTTCGTACCGGCCGCCCAGTGCCGCTTGCCTCCGAGCGGGCGCCACGAAGCGTGGTCAGCGCCCAATTCACGCCGTGTCACCTCCTCCTCATCTTTACCGCTCGCATCGAGGGTACCAGTCTGTTGCGTGTGCGTGTGCGTGTGCGTGTGCGGTCGTGCGTGTGGGCGTGCCGACCCTGACGATCGCGAGCGCAGTGTTGTGGAAGGCCAGCTTGGGGACATCGCCCGAACCTCATCGAGCCACGATCCGGGCGGATTCCGGCGGCAAGAGCGCCAGGATCGACATGGCGCAGGCGATCGAGGTGGACGTGGCAGGTCGGCCAGCGGACGCTCCGCGTTTCCTTCTGTTCATGCTGGCCCGGGACTCCTACTTCGTGTGCTGGCAGCTGCCCGCCGAGGTTCGGTCTTGCCTACTGTGTGCGGCGTGTGCGGCGTGTTCGATGTGTGCGGATTGCTTAATGGAGTCCTCTTCTGCAGCCGGTTCGGAGCTTCAAACAGTACGCCAAGTGGTCCGTCGACTGTACGTATTTCTCCACCATGTTTGAAGGCTACATCTCCTCACACGCCTCCTTAAATGCACATTAGTGCGCAGGGATCCCAAGTTCTGGTGTGATGGGTGCGCTCAGTCTTGGCATTGTTTATTATTATAATCATTGTTATAATTCATATATGGGGTTCTAATGCGTTTCGCACGGCTTCAGCCAGCGCTTGGTCACCTCCATGGACGGGGTACGCTTCGGAGATTGCCTGGCGTAATGCACAATGCTGCTGATCTACTCATCACAAACCACACGCGCTCGCGACGACACGACACGACACGACACGCGGGCACACAGGTAGGACATAAGCGCAGGTTAACGGTGGCCCCGACGCTGGTGGTGCACAGATTGCGCGACCTACTGGCGTGTGCAGAGATTCCGGCCAAGCCAAACGAGTGCGACACATCGCGCAATGTGACTTCGCTCGCGCTCCTGCCGCACGCGGGCGCCATGGTAGCGCTGTGCCTCGACCAGCAGCTTTTTCCACCCAAGGGCCTGAAGCCGCTCCGCCATTGGCGCCTCCGCGTCTTCACTTCATCGTAACAAAGTACTCACTTCTCAGCCACTGTGTGTGTGTGTGTGTGTGTGTGGTGTGTGTGTGGTGTGTGTCGTGTGTGTGTGTGTGTGGTGTGTGTGTGTGTGGTTTTTGCATGTGCGGTGAGACCGTCAAGATATTGCTGTGGGCTAAAAAAGGAAATGGTGACTCAAATTAGGTAAGTGGCGGAACAAAGGGACGCGTTTCCTGTTTTGACGTAACACAATTCAAGTATTGCCATAAAGTTGAGAGGGGCGGCGCTCTCACCTTGTAGACTTCTTGATTCAACCATCACCCCTCATCGCTGCGGAAGATTTCTTTTTTTACCAAATTCATCTCCATCTCTACTGCGGCAATCAACTCAATCTCTCGCGCTCAATTTCAAATTGGCACTTCGATGCGATGAGCGGGTTCCTGCGGCACCTTCTCTTCGCGTTCGTCCTCGCCTTGAGCCTGCCCACTCCATGCGTACAGCAGGAAGGTACGAGTGTCTTTCCCTCCCCTTGATCACTATCATCATGTTCTTTCTCCCATTTATTTATTTGGTTATTTTTCTTTATTATTTATTGATTCAATGGTTGTCTGCAGCCTCTACGCAGATCTACGGGGGAGGGAGCATCTTCACGCAGCCCTACATGGACTACTTCACAGAGTCCTTCCAGGTACGTCCATGCTACGCTGTGTAGAGACGCTGCAGCGAGCCTCTACTCACATTTTTTTTGGCCCACGCCCAGTTGGTAAGGCGAGATGACGCCATCGTGTGCACCTACGGCGGGGCCTCCCACTCGCTCCTGTTCCTCATGGCCAAGCCCGACCTCGTACGCCGCCCCGACCACTGCGGAGCCCTTGATGCGCAGACGCGTAACTATGTGCTTGTGTGCGTGTGCGTGTGCGTGTGCGTGTGCGTGTGCGTGTGTGTGTGTGTGTGTGTCGTGTGTGGTGTGTGGTGTGTGGCGTGTGTATCGCGTGTATCGTGATATGGCACAGGACTTTGCCGTGGTGGATGCACCCCTACACGAGACACTTCTCGCCAACAACTCCATCGCTCAGTTTCCGCTGGCCGGTCAGCCACTGGTCGCCATCTACAACCTCGGCAGTAGTCGCCCCACTACACCTCTGGTACGGGACTCCTCCACTCCAAACGAAAACAAAACAAAAACGGAACGAAAACGAAAATGCAAACAAATTGCTGACCGCCGAGCAGGTCCTCGACGGCGCGACCCTGGCGGCCATCTGGCTGGGCGACGTGACCTGGTGGAACGACCCGGCCATCGTCGCGCTCAACCCCAACATCGCGCTGCCGGCGGAGCCCATCCGGCTGGGCCACGGGGCGGATCGGCCGGGCGGCATCACGCACAGCTTCACCAACGCGCTCTCCATACTCGATGGGCGGTTCCGGGCGGCGTGGTCGGGCGACGGCTCCCAGGATACGAGCCGGTGGCCGCAGCTCACCGGCATCGCGGGCCGCGCAATCGAGTTTTCGGACAGTGGCACGCTGTCGCCCTTCGTGCGCGATACGCCGTACAGCCTCAGCTACTCCACATTCGACCGGGCTCAGAAGACCGGCGTCGACTACGCTCTCATGCGAAACAGCGCAGGTACGTGTGTCGTGTGTCGTGTGTCGTGTGTCGTGTGTCGTGTGTCGTGTGTCGTGTGCTTGAAGCTGATGAAAGGGGCGAACAGGAGCGGTTGTGTGGCCCACGGTCAAGGCAGTGGAGTCGGCCATCAGCGAAGTGAGCGAGAAGCTCACGGACAGCATGACCATCAACGTGGCCAATGGCCAGCAACGCGGTTCCTGGCCCATGTGCATGCTGCACTATCTGGCGGTGCGCAGCAACGCGTCGACTTCGGATTGCCTCGGGATCAATTCGCTGCTGTACTTCACGGCCTGGACGCAGCTCACGCCCATGGCCGTGACCAAGAGCCGCGAGCTGGGCTACGCCCCTCTCAGTCTGAGCTTCAAAGCGTACCACTTCCATTTTGACACACACACACACACACACACACAAGACACACACAAGACACACACAAGACACACACGATCGCGTGACTTACCCCGTGGCTGTGTTCTAGGAAATTGATCAACAATTTCCAGAAGGTGGCGTGCAATGGCGAGAAGGTCTTCGACAGTGCTCTGTTGATCGGCACCGGTGTTCGCACCATCTCCTTCTCCTCGTGGCCGCAGGAGGTGTACTACTTCCGCGGTTTTGACGCCGAGTCCACCATCACCGACCTCAGTCGCTGTACCCATCCCCGTGTCTTGTTCCGTCGTCGTCGTCGTGGTGGTGGTGGTGGTGGTCAACTTACTGCCGTGCGTGATGCAGACAACATTGACTTTGGCATCACTGCTCGCCCGCTCACCAACGACGAGTCGGAGCTGCTGGGCGACGTGCCAAGCATTCCATTCACAATGGTCCCCGTCGGCGTGGCCTACAACGTACGCCCGTCAAGCTGACTCCGCTCAATTTGAGCACAAAAGCTGCAATGATTCTCACTCCAGCCTTTTTCATCAACTGCTGTCTCTCCACCGCCGCCCAGCTGCCGGAGCTGGTCGGACAGGGCTCGCTTTTGCTCAATCTCACCGTGCTGGCCGACATCCTGCTGGGCACCATCGACACGTGGAACGACACCGCCATCCAGGAGCTCAACCCGGAGCTCGGGGACCTCCTGCCGGCGGATCCCATCGTCATCCTCAACTACGAAGACGATGCGCTCAGCGTCGTATTTGCCGCGTTGAGCACCGTGAGTCAGGAATTCGCGCTCGCAGTAATCTCTCTCTTCCCAACTATTGCCTCGTCCTTGTGTGCATGTCCTCACGACACGACACGACACGACACGCACACACACACAGACACACACACACACACACACACACACACACACACACACACACACACACACACGATACGCACACACATGACACGCACACACACGACACAGGTCAGCAGCAATGCGACGAGCCTGCTGCCGGTGAGCGAGCCGTGGCGCGGGATGGTGCTGCAGGCGGAACAGAAGGTGACGGTGGAGCTGGTGGACTTGCCCTACGCGATGATCTTGACCGCCTTTGACGCCGTGCGGCCCATCAACCACCTGGGCTTCGCCGACCTGGTCAACGTGGCCGGCAACCGGGTTTCGCCCTCCTACGACAGCCTCATGTCCGCCGGTGCCGACTTCTTTGACACAGGCCGGCTGTTTCTAGGTATCTTCCTCGCGTATGTGTCGTGTCGTGTGCGTGTCGGGTGTCGTGTCGGGTGTCGTGTCGTGTGTGTCGTTTAGTCTGTGATACAAACATGCTGAGTGACCGTGGCAGGCGGGGGAGAGGTGAGCTGGCCGATGCCGATCACGACCTACATACTCTTCCACCAGCGCAGCATGATCGATTGCACCAAGGCCAAGGGGATGGCCAGCGTGCAGCACTTCCTGCAGTCCGATCCCAAAGCTCTCACCTACACCCAGTACCTTCCTTCTCCCTCCATTGGCCTCTCTCACTCTGTCATTGCCTTCATTGACGCCACAACACGACCAACGACACGACACGACACACACACGACACACACACGACCCACGACACACCAGGTACGCGGCGATCTTGAGCCGATTGCCGGCGGTGCGGGGCATGTACTACGGCCTGCAGGAGGCGATGGCCTGCAACGGCGAGCCGACCAGTCCGATCCACGGCTGCATCAAAAACGGCACCCTCTGCTTCGACCACGGCCTCTGCCTCATCGCCGACGCCTCCGCGCCCAACGCCTCGTGCCACTGTAGCCTCGGCTGGAGCGGCGTCCACTGCGAGATAGAGACAGCGGCGCAGGGCGACACGGGAGCGACCGCGGCCGCGGGCTCCAGCGAGCTGTTCATCGCCACACTGGTCACGCTCGTGCCCGCCGCCGCGCTCGCGCTGCTGGCGATCGGCGTCGGCGCGGTGTTCGTGCGAATGCGCCGGCGCCGGCTCAACGAGCAGCACGACGCGGTGGCGTGGCAGGTCGAGGTGTCGGAGCTGGAGATGGGCGAGCTGCTCGGCGCGGGCGGCTTCGGCGAGGTCTACAAGGCCGTGTGGAAGGGCACCGAGGTGGCGGTCAAGTTCGTGGCCGCCCGCAGCGAGCCCGGGAGCGCCCACTCGCGCGAACTCGAGCGCAGCTTCCGCGAAGAGGTGCCGACCAGCAACAGCCAGCCGCTCTCCCGCGCGAACCACATTCCTGACACATTCCCGGTCTGCGTGTGCGTGTGCGGTGGTGTACGCAGGTGCGTGTCATGACGACGTTGAGGCATCCCAATGTGGTGTTGTTCATGGCCGCGTGCACCAAGCCGCCCAAGATGTGCATCGTCATGGAGTACATGACTCTGGGCTCGCTCTTCAGCGTACGAGCTTCCTCGTCTCTCCACCACAAACGAGAGCTCTTCCTCGAATGCTAACCTAATATCTTTTTCTACTTTTCTTTTTCTACTTTTCTTTCTTTACGCCGGCCGCGGCAGTTGCTGCACAACGAGAGGGTGTTGGACATCCCGTTCGTCGTGCGCTTCAAGATCGCGTACCAGGCGGCCAAGGGCATGCACTTCCTCCACTCATCGGGCATCGTGCACCGCGACCTCAAGTCCCTCAACCTGCTCCTCGACAACAAAGGCAACATTAAGGTACACCGCACACACGACACATACTACCACACGGCACACACACCACACGGCACACACACGACACGACACGACCGACCACACGACCCACACAACACACGCACGCACGCCAAGGTGTCGACAGTAAACCGCTCGATGGACAGGTGGGGGACTTTGGGCTCACGCGGTTCCGCGAGGAGCACAAGACGAGCAGCGGCAACGAGCATATGCAGGGCAGCGTGCACTGGCAGGCGCCCGAGGTCCTCGGGGGCGTCCAGGACGCCGACCTCATGCTGGCCGACGTCTACGCCTTCGGCGTCATCCTGTGGGAACTCCTCACGCGCGACTACCCCTACGCTGGCCTCTGGTGCGTTTCTTAAGCTTGCATGTGTGTGTCGTGTCGTGTGTGTCGTGTGTCGTGTGTCGTGTGAATGTCGTGTGCGGTCACTAACACAACACACTCTCGCACACAGTCCGGCAGCAGTGGCGGTGGCGGTGGTGAGGGACGGAGCCCGGCCACGATACCAGCGAGCGCTCGGCCGCGCGAGTTCGTCGACCTCCTCCGGGCCTGCTGGTCCCAGGACTCCACCGCTCGACCCTCCTTTTTCGTACGCACGCCTGCGCCCCACCCTGTCAGGAATGCCACGCATGCTGTCTTGCTGACGTGGCAACACGTCACCTGTGGTGTGGGCGGTGCAGGAGGCCATGACCAAGCTGACCGGACTGATCGAGCGCTTCGGCGGCGGCGGCACTGGTGGTGGAGACGGCCGGGCGGTGAACGTGAACTCGTCGTCGGTCAGCCTGGCGCGGTCGACCGACTCGCGCGAGAGCGATAGTGAGGTCCCTCGGGCGAGGCCCCGCCAGCCGCAGAGCGACGATGGCTACTTTTCCAGGGAGTCGTGGACCATCGCCAGCAGCCTGCGCACCAGACATTCCGGCGTCTCGACTCCCAGTACGACACGACCGACACGACACGACACGACACGACACGAAACGCGGCCTGACCAGCTGCGTGCGCCAGGCTACGGCTACGGCTCGATGGAGCTGCAGGAGATATGGAACCGGCCGGTGGTCGGGGTGACGCCGCCCGAGGGCGACAGCGTCACGGTCGTGTACACGGACATCGCCCGCGCCGACGCCCTGTGGGAGTTCGACCCGCTGGCCATGTGCGACGCCACGGTGCTGCACAACCGCACCATCCGCAGCCTCCTCACCCGGCACCGCGGCTACGAAGCGTCCAGGCACGTTGTGGGTCGTGTCGTGCGTGTTGTGTGTTGTCTAACGTGTGCGGCGGTTGTCCACACAGCGGGGAGGGCTCGTTCTGCGTCGCGTTCGAGTCGACGCTCGACGCGCTGGAGTGGTGCATGGCCGTACAGCACGCGCTCGTGCACTCTGTCGCGTGGCCCGTGGCCCTGCTCCAACACCCGGCCTCGGCCGAAGAGTGGGGCGACACAGACGATCGGTACTTACCGCCCACAGTATGCGGCGGACCAGCCACCGGAGTCTGATCCTATGCGCGTGGTGTGGTCGTGCGTGTGCGTGTGCGTGTGCGTGTCGTGGTCGTGTGCGTGTGCGTGTGCGTGTGTGCGTGTGCGTGTGCGTGTGCGTGCGGTACGAGTAGATCGCTATTCAAGGGACTGCGCGTGCGGATGGGCGTTCACGTGGGTCCGGTGAGCGTGGTGCAACAGGCCGCCATGCACAAGGCCCACTACGAGGGCGCCGTGATCACCACCGCCGCTCGCATCACCGAACTCGCCCAGGACTGCCAGGTAACACCATTTATTCTTATTTCTTTTATATTATAATAATCATTTCTTACGCTAATATTATTACTATTACTATTATTATTATTTTGCGCTGGCCACCAGATTTTGCTGTCCGAGGCAGCGTACGCGGCCGTCGCCACCACCCCGCTCGCCCACGAACCCAGACGGATCGCCAAGCTTGAGGGCAAATTCTCGCTTCCCATCGGCCCAGGTACGCCAACCAACGCGCGCGGCCTCTGTGCGTGCGGTGTGCGGTATGTGTGTGCGTGTGTGCGTGTGTGCGTTTGTCCGTGTGCGGTGTGCGGTGTGCGGTGTGCAGTGTGCAGTGTGCAGTGTGCAGTGCGGTGATGCGTGCACCAGGCTGACGGTGGTGCTGGTGACCTGCAGGTCGCTCGGAGGTGCGGCTGTATGAGCTGCGGAGTCGCGGCCTGGAGGCGCGCCGCATAGGCGGTGGCGCCGGCCAGCTGTCGGATTACACCTCCTCTTCGCTGCGGTCGCGGATCGACTGGAGAGAGCGAAGAACGAGGGAGAAGGGAGGCGCGTCAGCTCGGTCGGGCCGCCACGACTACGACGGTAGCAGCGAGTGGAAGTGGGAGGATGAAAACGGCGAAAGCGAAAGCGAAGACGAAAGAGAAGACGAAAAGGTGCTGGCAGTGATGGAGGATCTCCATTTCCTGGGGTCGGGCAACCTCTGTCGCTGGATCATCGACTATGACGAACTGCGAATAGGCCCCCAGGTACGCAAGTCACCGACCACACGACACACGGCACGACACTCGCGCGACACGACACGACACGACTCATACGACCGCACACGCGCAGGTGGGCAAGGGGTCGTATGGGGTGGTGAACCGAGCGACGTGGCGAGGCGCGGATGTGGCGGTCAAGCGGTTCCTGAATCAGAGCCTCGAGGAAGGCCGCATGCTCGAGTTCAGGGCCGAGGTCGCCCTCCTCTCCACCCTCCGCCATCCCAACACCGCCGCCTTCATCGGTACGCACCACACGACACACACACACACGACACACACGACACACACGACACACACGACACCGACACACACCGCACACGATACGACGCGACACACGACTGAGCTGTGGTTTGTGTAGGCGCGTGCGTGAAGCCGCCACATCTGTGCATAGTGACTGAGTACGTGCCGGGCGGGAGCCTGCGGCAGCTGCTGGAGAACACGGCGATCAAGCTCCCGTGGGCCGCCCGGCTCGACCTCCTTCGCAGCGCCGCCCGCGGCGTGGCTCACCTCCACGCCCAGCAGCCGCCCATCGTGCACCGTGACCTCAAGCCCTCCAACATGCTCGTCGAACAGCTGACAACAACAACGACCACCATGACGTCAGCAGCGCCGTTGACAACGTGGAACGTTAAGGTGGCGGACTTTGGGCTGGCGCGGCTCAAGCAGGACAACGCGACGATGACCAGCTGCGGCACTCCCTGCTGGACCGCGCCCGAGGTGATCCGCGGCCGGCGCTACGACGAGAAGGCCGACGTGTACTCGTTCGGCATCATCATGTGGCAGGTGGCCTCGCGCCGACGCCCCTACGACGGCCGCAACTTCATGGGCGTGCTCACCGACGTGCTCGCCGGCGCGCGGCCCTCGCCGCTGCCGATGGCGACGGCCGCAGCGGCCACTGCAACCGGCGGCGGCAGCAGCAGCAGCGGCAGCGGAGTGTGTGGCGGCTGTCCGGCGGAGCTGGTGGCCCTCATGCAGCGCTGCTGGGCCGCCGAGCCCGACGAGCGGCCGTCGATGGCCCACGTCGTTGAGTGCCTGGAGTCGTTGGGCACCGCCAACACCAGCGGCGGCGTGGCCACCGTGTAACTGCCTCCCCCTCGTGTACTTGTGTGTGTTTTTTTATTATTTATTCTTTTCTCTGTGCTACGGCCCTTCCAGCTGCTGCTTCATCTGTGTTGTGTGCGTGTCATTGCGTTGTGTGTTGTGTGCGGTCAGTCGTGTGTGTGTGTGTGTGCACGAGTGAGTGCCGGCGTACGTAGGCCATGGCCTGTGCCTGGGCGTGGGCGCGTAGCAGCTGCTCGTCGGGGTTGGCCTTGTCGGGCACCCACCGGGGCGAACACGGCCGGTCCCGGGGCGAGGCCGTGGGCGAGGGAAGCACGCGGGCGGCACCTCCACCACCGCCGCCCAGCTCGACGCCCCCGACCATGTCCGGCGGCGGCTGTGGGTAGATGAAGGTGCGGGGCGAGGGCAGCAGCGATGACACCGGCGGGGTTGGGTTGGGGGACGACGACTGCTGCTGCAGTTGGTCCTCCCACTTGCCCAGTCCGGTGGTGCCTCCGCTGGTCGGGGTGCGTGGGGTGGTCTTGGGGCTGGTCACCGGCGAGGGTGGCGGGGTCGAGGAGTTCCTCCGGAGCAGCGACAACTTCATTCTCACGCTTTGGTGTATATAAAAATATAAGTGATATCAATGTAAACTGTAAATAGGTCTGGACCGCGTGCTCGTTAGTTCTTCTTGTTCGGGTTGTGCTCAGACTTCCGGTTGCCGGTAGCTCGGGGACAAAAACCTTGCGGCTCACCGGAGTGGCTCTTGATTGGCCCGCCCGGAGTCTCCGAGTTGCCTGGTCACCAGGCGCAACCGTCATTCAACTGTCCATACTTTGTTATTCGAGAAGTATGTTGTACAAGTATGTTGAACATGTACATGTTGAATATGCATATATGTCTTATTTATAAAGATGTCATTTAGTCACGGGTGTAGCAATCGAGACAGAACTCGGCGAAGCGCTGCTTGGCGGCGGCGAGCAGGGTGGCGGGTGTGGGCAGCAGGGAGGGGTCCGGCAGCAGGCTCGGTCCGCTGCGCCACGAGTTGTCGTAGACGAAGTCGTTCGTGCCCGCGTGCGGTAGCGAGCAGCACTCGCCCACGAACACGAACCGCCGCGCCGCCTTGTCCACCACAAACACGTACCTAACCGCACACGCACACGCACACACAACAGATCAGTTTTTGTTTCCACCCACCGCACACACCACACACGCGCACTACGAATCACGCACTCAAGCTGACCCTGGCAGACGAGATGGGTGAGCTCGAAGCAATCGGATGAAGATGAAGATGAAGACGAAGACGAAGACGAAGCGCGGTAGACTCGGGCCTGAACGGCCTCGCTGGGCTCGGACATGCTGGCCGCCACTTGCTCGGCCCGCACGCTGCCCGCGTCGATGTCCTCGCGCCACGGCCCGGCCGAGGAGTCGCTGTCCAGCAGCGCGTCGAGCATGCGGCGCCCGGGCGCCACCAGGGCCTCGTCCACCGGCTCGTCACTCACGCGTGTGGCCGGCGTTACGCCAACAACGCGGCACGGACGATTCTGGAACTCGCCGAACTGAGTCCAGTCCATTGCGTACTCTGCGTCGCCCTCACCCTCCGTTCGTCTTCGCTTTTTGGTGTCGTCTCGTGGCGGTTCTTCGTTTTCCTTCTTTTTTTCCTCTTCGTCCGGCTCCCGCTTACGGGCGGCTTGCTTTGTGCGCGCCATGAAGAGGAGATAGGCGCGTGGTGTGGACGTGGCGGGTTCGTGGGAGAAGAAAGACGTTTCGATCCGCCACACCTCCTATTGGTCCCAGGCTTCTATTCTTTCACTGAAGAGGGTGGAGACGCCACAGAGGCGTTTCTTTTCTTTGGCGTTGGCCATTGTTGGCCCATCAGAAGTGCTGGTGGGAGAAGGGGTTGAAGAAGTGGCCAGAACACACCCAGACCTGTATGACATGTTGGTAGGCATGGTGAAGTACTGTGCTGCAGTTTGGGCGGCCTTGGCAAGGCAGTTCACTAAAGCATGCACCACCATCATGCAAAAGCTCCAGGCGCTCTCCAAGGACGAAGAGCTGGCCTCCATTCAGAGGAGGAAAGAGAGTTGGGCAGAAGAAGCAGAGGTGAGAGAATACAGAGATATTTCCTCTCTTTTTCCTCAAGGATTTCTAGATGCAGGAATTTTCTCCGCTAAAGAAGAAAAGGACGACAAAACTCGCGAATTGAAAATTATTTTTATTATTGATCAACACACAGATGGAAGGCAGACTTCCTCCTCAATCGCAGAGCAGCGGCGCAGCGGAGCCGGTGGTGTTCAGATTCGTTTCAAGTGGGGGAGGAGGCGAGAATGGGGGAAGCAAGGATGGTTCGCTTGCAAAGCCACATTTTTCTATCAAGCTGTCCGAGGCCGCGAGTAGGGCCATCCAGGAGGGGAGCAAGGACACATCGGCCGTAGCTGAAGAGGACAGGAAGCGGAAGCGCGAAGATGAAAAGGATGGTAGCGGCAGCAGTCGTAGTGGCAGCAAATCGGTTTCTTCGTCGAAGGATGAGCACAGCAGGCGAGATGACAGCAAGAAGAGGAAGTCGGATCGACACGGCAGCTCGAGAGATAAAGACAGGGATCGCAAGTCGTCCTCGTCCAAACGAAGGCGAAGCCGAAGTCGCAGCCCATCTCGGCGGCATCGTAGCGATCGAGAGAGCAATCGCAAGCATTCTAGCAGCAGCGATTCCCAGCGAGAGAGGGCCGAGAAAGATGTCAAGGAGAAGGAGCTGACTGAAGAGGAGAGGAAGAAAAAGGAGAGGAGGAGAGGAAGGCCGAGGAGGAGAAGCTCGAGGAGGTCATGCGCAAGAGGAAGG